AGAACTTTCCACGACCGAGATACTTAACATGTGATTAATTACAGTATGAAAGAGAAGAAGGGAATGTTATACATAGAAACGAAGAGATAGAGAACGCTTGCCGTCAATATCATGAGTGCAGTAGAGACTTATTAAGCCGACCGAGTGAAACTCGGAGGGGCTTATTCTGTTTCACTACAAAAAATTCTTTCTTTGTTTCTTCTTTCTTCCACACCCTACTTTCTGCTTCGAGTCAGCCGCTGATTCTCAGCTATCACTCATATTTATCAGTTCATATTTGGAAAAAACATCATTCGAGAGTGCAAGAGAGGTAGATAAAACAGCTGAAGTTATTTTTTCGGTACATGTTTTAATTATTAAGTAATGAGTCTCAAAAGTTGCGCATATTCTCAATAAATTTTCTATGAGATAATTAATTGTTACGTGACACTTCACATTCATTCAGTATGAATAGTGTAGTGATTCATTAAGTAGTCACGTGCTACTTATCAGCCTATATTTTTGTATAATTTGATGTATTTATACTCTGAAACTTTCTTACCGATAGAATGCATCATATGTTTACTACTACTAGAGCACTGCAGTGTTCTAATTGTATTTAAGGGATTCAAGCAGTGTCTAAAGCGTTTCTTAGATACGTTTCACTCAGTCGGGTTTCCAATCTGTCCGTAGGGCAGTTGACATCTAGTTAAGATTCTTATTCTCTTCTTAATATTTACAATTTCGTTTCTGTCTTGCTTCTCACAAGCGTTCACCCAGTCAGCTTCCAATCTTCGCAGGGCGAAGTTGGCATCTAGTTTTTTTCTGATATTATAACTGTTCCAAAGCCGCATGTTAATAGACAGTTCGTAACAATAAGAATTTTACATTTAAGTACATATAGTTAAATGCATGGTTTTAGATCTAATTTATCGTGAAATAACGGATAAAAAACGATGACTGTTAAGAGGCCGTTTTCTGATAGTTTTTAACCGCAGTAGTGGCGTAGCCAGGATTTTATTAATGGGTGGGCGTTATCCTAAATTTTTGTTGTTAATGAATGGGCGTTGCCTCAAATTTTTTCGAAGTGGTAGACATTAGTGTAGAGTAGTGTGAATTATAAAACTTTTAGTGGGTGGGCAAAACCAATTAGTGGAATCTAAGATTCTAACATATTTTGTGAAATTCCAACTAATGTATATTTTTGAAGAAACGGAACGTAATTTTAAGCATAAAATGTATAATAACACAAGTTTTTTAAGATAGTAAAGTTAATTAATGCTCATTGATTTCTGACACTAAGAAGATACTGTAAACTTTCTAGATTATTCTATACAAGTATGGAATCAGAATTTTTTCAGACACGTGCGGAACACGTGAAAATTTTGAGAGTAAATGTGGTAATGATGAATAGAATAAATCCACTAGGTATAAAAGGAATTTTGTTTTTGTTTTTAATTACTGTCTAATATTTAGTTCATTTAAGACTTACACATCGTTGTGATGCAGAATCCTATATCATCCTATAGAGATGATTTCAGGAATCTCTTAGAATAGGTAATCATTATTTGTGTCAAAATTCATGGCTATTCTCTATTGAATATTATTTCATATTTTTCTATTTGTTTTGAATGTTTTATATGAATAAAATATTTTAAAATAATGCTAAATCATTGTAACACATATATTTTATATTATATGGAATAAATGTGAAACATCAAGTGTTACTGTTTTTTCTTAGCTCGTGTTTTTCTACTTAATATGATTGAATAATCTCATGGCTTATATTGATAGTCATAAGTATTGAAATTATCAAAAAAGAAAACAATAGGACTATTTTAGATGATGTTTAAAGTTAATGTTTAGTTAACGTTTTATTAATTTTAAATCAAATCGAGTACAAGAGCAGTCCAATACTACGTTGAAATTCGTGTGAATTTTACAATTAATTAAAGCGACATTTGTGCTAAAATATTGTCAAATTCGTTTCGTCTGTTGAAAATCTACTAAAATACTTGATAATTTTAGATGGTCAATTGATTTTCTATTGATTTTCTTAATTAATATCAATGTAGTATTATTTATCAAAATTGAACAATTGATTTTTAAAATATTTAGTTTGTTAGCATTAACAACTGCTTACTATTTGAATTAACTAAAAATAAATTATTACAAGTAACTTTAATAAATTATTATTCATTGCTCAAAATTAATCTACAGTTCAATTAGATTAGTCTAACCACTCTTTTTTTTTTTTTCTTTTTTTTTTTTTCTATTTTTTTTATTATTTTTTCTTTTTGCACGCATTCATTTTTTTTTTTTTTCATTATCATCGTTTACGCCTTAAGTAAAATAATTAAATGAATTACATCTATTTCTATATTGTATGTTCTTTTCGTTTCATCTATGTCTAACATATGTGTTCATAAATTTTTTTTTTCCGGAAATTCTTTTCCGATAAAATGTGTTATTCATTTTTTTTCTTTTTAAATATTTGAACAAATGAGAAGAAGAAAAACAAAAATATATATCAAGAAAACTAGTGATTAATAATAGTAATAGAGTGATAGAGAATGACTATGGCCAAATAATATTATTATATTGATTATTTCCTAGAACCGTGGCTTTGCATTTTGTCTTTGCTATTCGTTGAGATAATGATATTTTCTAGCTCTATAACGTTTTTTGAGACTTCTATTTGTCGAATTCGAAGATAAAAAGAAAAAGAAAAACAAAGAAAAAAAAAAAGAATTTTTATTATTTTGCAATTCAGACAGATATTAGAGTTCGCATCACAACTTAGATGATTATGATTTTTCTTTTGTAAGAATTTTTTATTTTTTATTTTTTCTATTATAAAATAACAGTAATCTATATCGTGATATTATCTAACAAAAACGATGAATTCTACAAAAATATACTTGCTATCTTAATTTTAGTGCATTAAATTTTCTTGTTTGATTTTAGCTAAGTGTAAGCTTATTTTTTCAGTTTAGATCGAGAAGAAAAAAATAATAGGTATCAGTTATACTATATATTCTTTTACTCAAATGTTGTTAATTGTTAAAATATATTATTTCTTTTCTCGATAGACTCCACGAAAGCAAAAAATAAAATAAAAAGAATAAAACTTAGACGATAAAGACGAAAGAAAAGAATGAGAAAAAGATTTAGAATAGCGTACTATGATCAGTATTTTTTTATTTTTTTGTTTTTTTGTCCTTCTTTTTCCATTGCTTTTTTAGACCATTAGCACTAGAAATATGACATTTTATTATTTAACGAAAATTGTTTTGTCGACTTCAATAAAAAAACGTTTTTATTTTTAAAAAATATGAAGAATGTAAGACAGATTTATACGAAAATTTTTGTTGACGAAATATTTTGACAAGATAAAATTTTTTTTTGCTTTGTTGTTAATGAAAAAGAAAACGATATTGAATTAATTTTAGAAATTATTTTGTTTTTTTTAAAAAATTTATTCTACTTCAGTATATTCTGAGTAGTCGAAAGAGTCATTGTAATTATTATTTAAGCTTTAAAATTCTATTATTGTCTGTATTACACTAATATAGCGAGATTTAAAACAGTTTGAAAATTGGAAAAAAAAAATAGAAAACTTATGACAATTTTTATAGTTTTTTAAAAAAATATCTACTTTTCTTTAGAGTTTGAGTTCAAAGTAAAACCTTTTTTCAATGATATGTAGTCGAAGAAGAAGTCTGCACTGTTTTTTACTTGTATTTTCGTTGAATTTGATAAAAACAAACGACTTTTACATTATGTCCTCTTATTTTCAGATTTATTTTAGACTATGTGTTTTCCCATCACACTTATCATTTAAACGTGAAAAAATTTGACGGTATAGCAAGCAATAAAAAATTAAATTTTTTTACCCATTTATTTATAAGTGTATTTTCGTTTAATGAAAATTTGAAAAAGTGTATTTTTGGATGCTAAATGTCTTCTGCATTCTTGTCCACTATGGATAGAGAAAAAGAGAGAGACAAAAAAATGGTTACGCTTGATTATCTTAGTTGGTGTAGAAAGTCTAAAAATTGATGTCTATATAACAATATGGATGAGAGTTAAGGAGGCGAACATTTTTTTATAACACAATAATAAACGGATGAGAGAAAATATTTTTGTTCCATATAAATCTTGACATATTTGCACGTGTCATGGAAAAGAAAAGTATTATCACATAAAATACAGAAGAATAAGGAAGAAAAAAGAATGAAGAAACTAAAAAGAATTCAAAACTAAATATATATAGACTATGTATGCACAAAACGATATTAGGCATATTTTTCTTTAGATTTTATCATCCTATGTGACTGTTATCGTTTGAAAATTCAAATGAATCATATAAATCAGTTACATACTATTTGTCTAGATCATCATCCTTTATTTTAAAAAAAAAAATTGTTTTTTTCTACCTTATTTTGTCAGCGATACATTTTTTGAATGATAATAAGACATACCTAATAAATAACTGGTAAGAATGGATTAAAAACTAAGAATGAAATGGATATAGTTTGGGATTTAAATATTCTTCTTTTTACTGCTGATCAGATTGCAATAAATGTTACGTTTTCTTTTTCTTTTTTTATGATCATGATAAAATATTTGTTAGAAAGGATAAAAGAAATTTATATGTTCGTTGATATATATATATATATATAAGTTAGACTAGATAACAAGACAACATCTTCCTTTCATTTTCTTCTCTCTTTTTTTTTTGTATGTGTAATTGATGTCAAGAAGAGTAAAACGATAAATCTTAGACATAAATTGTCATTTTGTACTTAAAGAAAATGTCTTGATGAGAAATATTTTTTAAACAGGTAAAGTTGATCGAAATTTGACATATTTTACTCAGAAATTAATCAATTTGACCTTCTCTATAATTAGTAGTTTGATATATTCGTATCGTTTGTAATAATGTATTTGAAAATAATAAAACTTAAATTTTCTGTTGTTTTTTTTCTTTTAGAATTTTGCTACAATAATCATTAAACATGGATGCTGACAAAACATCCGAAAATGAATTGTCTTTAACTACAAGTGATAGTTTTTGGGAGGTATATCAAATGTTATATTATATTCATAATTTATTAAAAAATTATATTTTTATAACTTTTTATTTAGATTGGAAAATATCATCGAGTTGTTAAGCGATGCGATGATGGAAATAAATTAACAACCGATTTAATGAGTATGATAACGGAACGTGCTGAATTAGAAAAACAATTTTCAAAAATGTTAAAAAATTGGTCAAAAAAATGGTCAGATTATGTACAAAAATGTAATTGTTATAAAAATGTTAACGTTTTTTTTTATTTGTTTGCTTTTTTCACATATAATCAACATATTTTAAAAGTCTGAATTTATTCTATTTTCTGTAAATTCTATTTTTTGTTCAAAAATGTAAAGATGGTTTAATTCATTTTTTAGCATCAGAATTTGGCACAATGTTAACCGCCTGGAAAGCAGTTATGAATGAAGCTGATGGATCAGGTGATTTACATTTGAATGTGCATGATGAACTACAATCAGACGTTATTCCGACAATAAAACAATGGCAAAAAACGAAATATGTCAAATCAATGATGCATATTAAACCAACAAAAGATTTTGAAGAAGAATTTAAACGAGTAATTAAAAACATCAAGGTGTCATGGTGCAAATTTTGGATGTTGTAGATGTTATGGTGGTGAACGGCAATTTAGACTTTTTAGACTTTTAGACTTTCTTCTAGAAAACTAGCCGGACTAGCCGGAGGGGGCGGGGGCGGCAGTATGAGAGTGAGTCACCATACAAGAAGTTCAAGTTGAGCACTTTTGGATGTTGTAGATGTTATGGTAGTGATCGACGATTTAGAAAGTTTAGACTTTTAGGATCTGCTAACTATCCTATAACATCCATTGCCGTTGCTCGACTTGAACTTCTTGTGTGGTGACTCACTCTCATACCCTTGTCCCCTCCGACTCCGGCTAGTTTTCTAGAAGAAAGTCTAAAGTCTAAAAAGTCTAAATTGCCGTTCACCACCATAACATCTACAACATCCAAAATTTGCACCATCACACCTTCCTCATTAAAAAACAAAAAAATGAATGAATGAATATCTTTGATAATTTTATTATTTATTTGTCTATTAATATATTTTAGGCACAAAAACCCTGGGCAAAATTATATACAAAAGTTGATAAATATAAACGTGAATATCATACAGCAACAAAAAATTTAAAAATGGCCGAAACACAAGAGAATAATTCAAAATTAGATGCTGCTGTGACACTTGAGCAAGTAATAAACGTCAAAATTCTCTCCTATTTTCAAAAATATTTCATTACTGTTACATATTATAGAAACAAAAAGCAACAGACAAAGTTGATAAATGTCGAAAAGAAAAAGAAGGAGCTAAACAAAAATATACGGAAGCTATACAAGAATTAAATCGATATAATCCAAAATATATGGATGATATGAATGAAGTATACTAAACAAAATATTAATGAAATATAAATTTTTATAATATTATTATTTCATTGTAGGTATTTATGAGATGTCAAGCTTTCGAAAAAGATCGTTTAACTAGTTTTCGAGATTTTATTGGTAAAACTCAAAAATGTCTCGATTTAAGTAGTCGCCCTCAGTAAGTAAATAATTATAAAAATAAGCATATTTTACACTCTAGTTTCTAAATTTCAAATCACTTTTCTTTTATGATTTTTATCTTGTTTATAGATTACCAACTATAGTTCAACAATTTTCTCAATCAATAAAAAGTATGGATGCGGATACAGATCTGAGAGTGTGGTCAGATACTAATGGTGCAGGAATGAAAATGAATTGGCCAATATTCGAAGTAAGAAATAAATACTTTTTATCTTTTGTCCGTAGTCATCTTCTTCATTTTGATAAATTTGCTTTTTATCCAAACACACATGCACACACATCTCTTATTCTCCTGATTTTCTTTCTTTCACACTCAGAAATGCACTTTCTCTCTGCTGACATAAAGTCCCCAAAAGATTATAATTTTTTAGCTTATTTCTTTAAACACTTTGTCTTTTAACAATTAATTATTTTGTGCGCATTTGCATAGTATTATTGATGCCTTATTCCTTCTTTTTTTTTCAATAAATAACAATTAATAATAACTAATAGGATCATGTACACGTATTTTCCGAGATGAATCATCATCGTCTTCCATCTCAATCAGCTACACTCAATCATAACAATAAACATTTATCAACAACCACTACATACTGCTCCCATTGTAATGGAAATAATAACCATAGGAATAATAGCGGTACAAACAATAACTGTGATATTGATGAGAGAAATAAGAAGCGTTTATCCAAAGTACATTTATCAAACGTTGTTAGTCAACGTAGTTTACATCTACGTCATCCAACCATTCATTTATCATCGTATGATAATCGAGTATTAATTGATTCATATGCAACAATAAGACGTTCAATACGTCGAACAGGACAAATGGCTTATGCAGCTGTAACAAGAGTTCGTGATTTGGCAAGTACAACAACAACAACAACAATAAATGGAATTAAAACTGATCAAGAAGTAAAATACATAACATTAACAGATGCTAACAGATATATTAGACTTTATGCACATATTAGTAAACATTGAATAGAGCAAAAATTATCTATTTATTTATTATACACATATACTTCTCTCTCTGTCTCTCTCTCTCTCATATACTTTTTCTATTTTTCTGGGATTTATTTTTTATTTTGCTGCTTCTTTTGCCATTTCTTTTTTCTCTAGTCATGCTCACTTATTCTTTGATGCTTTTAAAGACATACACCATATTATTCTAAATTTAACTTCTTAATGTGGGAGGTGAACTGTTCTATACTGTGAAACAACTAGTTCTTTGGGTACGGAATATTAAATCACAAAAACACGAACATAGTTGTACTATTTTGCTATTTAGATTAAAATCTTCTGTTGATGTGCTGCACTTTTAGAATACATTGAATAATTAAAATTATTTATTATCTTTTTTTTCTTCTCTTTTTCAATTTAGGAATATTCAGAAACTAATCGTACGTTATCTCGTCGTGGAAAAGGTGATATTGAAAAAGATCCCGTTATAATGACGGCAATTCGACCAAATCAGACAACATCTGTTGGTCAGCAATTGTCAACAACATCTTCAAATGAAAGTTATGGTCGTGCTTCCGTAAAGTGAGTACTTTCATTTGCATAATTTACAATTATTGAGCTTGTTATAAATTCGTATGCTTCGATGAGAATGATCTGAGATTGATAATGGAGAATATATTAATTTTTAATCAACAGGTTTATAAATATTCTTGTATCAAACAAGTTTAGTAATAATTTGATCATATAGTGTGATTATTTTTCGCATTTACAATTTTAATTGACTCCGATTATCGATAATCGAAAAAAAACATCCACTCGTGGTCGAGTTAAACATTTAGTTTTACTAGTAGCTTCTCAATATGTAGTAAAAAAACTCTAATATTGTGCGTTTTCAGTAATGCTGCATTCAATGAAGGAGATTTTTCTCCGTGTATATCATCCTCAACACCATCATCACCTTATCTGAGTGGGACTAATCATGGTTCTGCTAATATGACAACAAATCCACTATCATCCTATATGAATACGGATACGATACCGCAACCTAACACAGGTTGGGCATCGTGGTCCAATGAAGAGTATGTCTATTTGTTAGTAAACAGTGGTCAATGTGCGTCTTCATGTTGTATTCTTTGTCATAAAATTTATTTTCAAACATAAATACACACATACACACCTATTTCACACTACTATTATCTTTCTCGATTTTAGCACTAAAACTGTGACAGCACAAACTGCACAGGCAGTTTCTCCAAAGTATCCGGATGAAAAAAATCCTTTCGATGACAATAGTGTTTCATCATCTGCCTCATCTGAGTCGCCATCTGCATCAACGCAAAATAATCGGTATTTTTAGTCTTTTGGCTATGAAAAATTGTTACTTACGATTATTTTTTTCTTTGTGATACGTCGCTTTTAAACCATTTTCTAACAACGTTTGTCACAGAGATTGTGTACTAATTACAATTACTCACATCTTTAAATTCTATCATAGTTCATTTCTTATTTATTTTATCGTGAGTGAGTGCGTATGTGTGTACTTTTCGTATTAAATTGAGTTGATTTTTATGCATGTTAAAGTCTTTGTATAAAATAGAAATGAAACAATCTTGCTTTGATTGCTCAAAAATTGTTTTCCTCTATTTATATATTGCTTTCAAATATATTCTATACGCTTATTTGCATGATTTCATGTTTTGTTGCATGCAATATCAGTGTTAAGAGATAGAATTAGATTCATTTTTTATTCATTTTTCTTTATTTTTATTGTAGTCCGGCTTATTCAACCACCAATGGTGGTGGAAATTCATCATTACAATCATCTTTGCCACAACAACATCAGTCAATTCAACAAACTCCATCCTATCCACAAACGGTAAATCCGTTTTATGATGATGATGAAGATGAATCTTTGCCACCGCAAACATCATCGCATATGTCTGAAGGTGTCACTGTTCGAGCACTGTATGATTATGATGCACAAGAACAAGACGAACTTTCATTCAAACAAGGTAAGAATTGCCCCCTCATATTATGGAAAAAAGGACTAATTAAAATTTTTTTAATTTTAGGCGATCTATTTACTAAACTTGAGGACGAAGATGATCAAGGTATTTTTTAAATTTTATTTTCTCTTCGTTTTTCATCTATTAATAATGCGTTTTTCTATCTTTGTAAATTAAAGGATGGTGTAAAGGTCGTATCAATAATCGAACAGGACTTTATCCCGCAACCTACGTAGAATCTGTTTGATAAGACAATCGTTTCAGCCTATGAAGAAACCAATGATCACTCGTCCTACATTTTTTTTTCTCCGTATTAACACAATATTTCATATTACATATATATTCGACAAAGCGACTTATTCACTGTTTGTCGAAAGAAGAAAATCAAAGTGAACAGTAAACATCTCGTTATTATGGTCATTCCTTTTTTTTATATCATAACAGGATTGATCATATTATTATTGTTGTTATTATTTGTTGTATTGTGTTGTTCCTTCTCTCTCTCTCTCACCATGTAATGCGTACGTGTCTTACAATTCTCTTAGAACAAAAAGATCCTGTAAAATGACCTAGAATCGTGTTAGTTTTAGTGTTATTTTGTTGAAGTTGGAAAAAAGTCTGATTAATCGTATTTTGTACGTTGAGCAAATCTCAAAAGAACTTTTACTCATATCTTGAAAATCATTTCTATCTTTCGTTTCTTTTTTCTTTTTTTTCTTAGAATGTTCCAATGATTATTTTTTGTCTTACTGTTGTGTATGTGTTCTTGCAAGTTTTAAAAATGAACATTTTTATCGCATTATCTGTATTTTTAACTATGTGTTTCTCTATTATTTTTTCCTCTCTTCATTGCTAACCGGACAGAGGAATGAAAAAATTTATATAAAAATATTTACATCATCCATACACATACACACGTAAAAACATTAATAAATCGTACGCGTTTAGTTTCTTTTACCTTGTTGATTTCCAAGTTTCTTTTTATTTTTCTCTTCAAGTGTTCTATTCCTTTTGAAAAAGTTGCAGCTGTTAGAATAACAAAGTAAATGAGGCTAGATAAATGTTGTTCCTTTCTCTCTTTTACAAGTAAGTAATTATCAATGAAACAATCTGTGTAAATAATAATCATGTATCATGACTGATCAACGCAAAATAATAGATGTATTGTATGAATTTATTCTCGCGAACAAACTCTTTGTTGTAAAAATTTGGGTTATTTTATTAAACCGCACAAACCCAATCCCGAAATACTAGACGACCTATGAATCATTTGTTCTTAGAATTAAGATGATATAAACGAAAAGCTTTCGTTTACGTACAAAAACCTTTGAGATAGGACAAAACAGGAAGACTATAATGATCAGCGATTCTTAATCTTAATTGAAATTGTATGTTATAACGACTTACTTAATGATGTCTTCGGGCAACATCTTGAATTTCTCTATAGCATTCGTACGTTGACTAAGTACTATTTACTCTCCTATTTTTAGCTGTTGTTAAATCATCATTATATCAAATGATACTTACAACCTTTGGTGATAGTGGCAAAGCGTAAACACTCACTTGTATTTGTACAAGGTAGCCAACTTCAGTGAAATCATAGAATGAGACAATTTGTAATGCGTACAATTCGATTATTCGGAAAGAAGATGATATCCTAGCAAAACAGTGATTTTTACATTTTGATCTTAATTTGAAAGAAGCCTATGTCTTGATTAGTCTCAATTTGTCGAAAACAAGGTCACACAGTTTTCTGACATCTTCCACCATGGTTACCATGAATCATCATGATAGACTTCGATCATCATCTAGAACTTCGATGTTTTTCCTTAGTTGATTGTTCGTGGGCATGTGATGACTATTGTTGACACACGGAAGGAGAAACAGTTAAAATGTTTCCACTTCAAATATTGAAGAAGTTAACCTTCACAATCTTGACTATAATAAATATGATTGTCAGACCCTCTCACATCTTGGACAAAGTGCTCTTGATGTTTGTGGTGTCTGCCTGCAGATCGTGAAGGCAGGAGTCTTCGAGATGACCACTTTGTTCTTCATACATTACATTTGTGAAGAGAAATTAGTGACGATCATACGGTGCTCTTACATAACGTGATGTCATGTTTGAGCCAAGTAATTGATTCTCACAGTCTTTAAGTGTCACTTGATCACTCGAATCAAGAGAGAGACTTCAACACAAAAGTTGTTTCATGTTGTCGTACAGCACCATCACTGGGAAAAATGTTTTTTGTGCACAGTTTGCTATTTTCCGTGCACTAAAAAATCTTTTGACATTTTTGTGCACGGTTACAGAAAGATGTACGGAAAAAAGACAAATGTGCACGGAGACGTTTTTGTGCATGGTTTCTCAACGAGTAAAAGATATTTTCGTTTTATATGCAGATGACCTGAACAAATAAGATGATTTATGAACGGACATGTCGTTTAATACAAACGAGACATATTGACTGAAATGTATGATAAATCTTAAAAATTGGTGTAGAGTGAAGTTCATCTCTCTAAGAATTAATTCAACCCACACAGTTCTTAAAACACTCTAAATATTTTTTCTTTAAACAAAAATTATGTCAAGAAAAGTTCGGAGTTTTGTTAATAAATATTTACAAAAAGTTGATTTGGATGTTCATTTAAATCATAACAATGTATCAAAATTTCGAGCGGAAAATGTGAAAGATGGCATTAAAGTTACATATCGTTGTTCGTCATGTAGAATGTATCCAAAATGTAGTTTTCAAGTTTGTGTATTATTTAATTCTCAAAATGAAATAATTTAATAATCAAACAATAGGGTATAGATTAACCCCGTTCTTCAAAAACCGTGCACAAAAACATCCCCATGCGTATTTCTGCCTTTTCCTGTGCACCTTTCTGTAACCGTGTACAAAAATGTCAAAAGATTTTTTAGTGCACGGAAAACACCAAATCATGCATAGTTTTGGAAAAAACCGTGCACAGAAAAAGCCTCGTCCATTATCACTCCTTCTTCTCACACATAATGCCAGATTCCCATGAAAATCGTCAATAATTCGCCGGTTTTGCCAATTACTCGCGATTAATTGGCAATTTTTTATTAAGATAATTGTTTAAATTCATTTGATGTTTTAAAAATAATTGAATGAATATATCAATACTCTTTTGTTTCAGTAATGGGAGTTGACTCCATCTTTGGAGTATGTCATTAGAACGTTAAAGATATGTTTCCCAAGTCGATGACTATCGGGCATTACCTGTTTATCGAACTATGTTCTAAACACAGCAGTCCAGTTAATCTTGTATCTCCATAAATGATCTTCAAACTCTGGGAACGAATCGGCTGATAATGAATATGTAAATTCTCCTGAAATCCCAATGGCTGCTTCTATAATGTCACATAGATAATGGATCCATTCTATTTTTCACTTACTATCAGTTCCACCTACTGTGCAGTTTAAGAAGAATAAAATTTATTTTCCTACTGAGATTGCACGTGAAGATCTTTAATGATCTTCTGAAAAACCTTCCAAAGGTACTATTTAGTTTTCTGCGCTTCTCTGCTTGTAATGTAATGGAACACTACAAACTAAGCTTATTTTTAAAATTTGAAGCAATTCGGTTGAGAAACGAAGGCGCTATAAGGTTTTTTATCTTAGTATTGTCACAGTGAAAAAATCATATTTTCTGAAAATCCTGTCCGTTGCAGTTTTCTTTATCCGGACAACAAAACAAACATTGCTACGGTTATCAGCGTGCCTATATACCATGTACTTTTATGATTCTCCGAGTTCAGGTTTAGTCGGTAGACAGGCCCCTGAAGATTGCCTGTAGCGTCCGAACCACGGTAGATGGAGATGTGAGCTTTGCGACAGATTGTAGAGCGACATCGATTCTATATCCGTATGTTTTTAGAGCAGTACTTCACTATAAGGATTTTTGGAATGGCAGGCTCGAACATTTTTTTTGAAAGGGACACCATGGTAGTACGGTCGGAAAGGGCTCATTTTAGCATAGACTTATGTCCCCGGGTGCTCTCTTTCATAATCTGAAAACCAAAGATCTCTAGTGTTTTTCATTCAAATTATTCCAAAAATACACGTAGCCTTTATATTTTGAAATGGATAGTAGTTTAATAAAGTCTTAGTTAGTTAGTTAGTTAGTTATAAACAAATAATTTGTTCGACTTTGATTACCCGAATTTATAGCGACCTCTATTTCTGCTTTTCTGTAGCGTTTCCAGTCAAGCCACGTGTTTTAATGTTTCTTAGCAAATACGATCGATATCATTACAAAAAACTTTACATTTGTTTCATTTTAACCATTTCAAAGTGTAATTCATACTTTAAAACAGTCAGCCAATCAATGGAATAAAGTCAAAGCAAAACGGTCAAGAAAGAAAAAAGGTTATAAAAAACTAAAATCGGCCCTTGTAAATAACACAATAAACAATTCGGTTGAGAAGTGAAAGCGCTACTACCTGACTGGAAGAGCTGTCATCTTCAGTTATTTATTTATGTTTTTATCTTTATTACAAAGAGCCCTACAAGCATTCTCTTCCCATGACCAGAAAAAAACGATCATCTGCTAGCGTTCTTTTAATAGTCACTTTGGTGTGTACTACTACGCACTCTTACAGAAGTTGTGTATTATGAACACTCAGAAATCTAAATGTTGTCTGTTTAGCTATGTTTGGTGTAGCAGCGTTTCTAATGGAAATTTCTTGCTAGGTGTACATGTACATTCTGTTTTTCCATAAAGTGTACGATGAGTAGAACATTTTAGTGGAGAAACTTTCGGTGCAGTTGTTGACAAATTCTCGTTATTTTGTCTGTTCTTCCTTCGTTTATACAAAAACGAGTCTTCAGTCAACAGATAAACATCATTCTGTCTAAATCAACCAAAATTCTTTTGATAAAAACAAAATGTACAGTATACGCTTTGTTTTTTCTCAGCAAAGCCTACTATGAAGCGTATTTCGAAGCTTTAAAGTTTACGTACACATTGTTATTCGAAACTCTATGGTGTAGAATCTACAGAGTATGTCTTAAAAATGAATAAAAATCATCAAAATAAGTTGCAGGAAAAGTATACACTAAGACGTTTTATTAACAGCTGCAACACAATTTTTAAGAGAATGTTCTACGAAAGATGGAGAAGGTATATATCCGATAATCCAAATCATTTTCTTTTTCTAGATTTTGTATTTAAATTTTATTTTACTTTCATTATGGTTGATACCACTGGACTTAGCGGCAAAGAAACCCAATTATGTATTGTTTCATTAATCGGGAAAAGTTCGTTAATCGACAATCAATGTAAATCTTGGAAACTCAATAGTTTATTACAAATGCCTAGTGTATTTAAAAACGGACGGAACTCTAATCAAAAATCATCGCTTTTGACGGACGATTATGAATTCTATTACGACAAATTGAATAATACAATTTATTTACATTTAATTTCATTTCATGATACATATTGTCTATTGAATTTAATGAACAAAATTAATGAGACGGATGATCAGGATAACGATGGTGAAACATCGATTAGATCATTCAATCAATTATGGGAAGAAAAACAAGCAAATTTTATGAAAAAATGTTTGATCTGCTTCTTATTATCACATATTATCATTGTAAGTTGACCAAGAAAATTTTATATTCGTATTGTGTCTGACTTTTCCACTGGTAATTCACTAGATTTTGACATATTTATTTCTTATTTAGATTTCTCATCCATCGTGTACATTTGATGTAAATTATCTTCGATTTTTTCGTATTATTGAAACATTAAGATATAAAACAAAACAGTCAATAACAGACTGTATTCGTAATTTAAATATTCCAAATTTATCAAAAGAAATATTAAATGAGAATCGTTTATGCATTCCACGAGTATTGTTTGTTTTCGAATACCCGTATAAAGATGCGATGAGTGATCAAGAAGAAAAAATGGCGGTAGGTAAGCATTTATATCACTTGTTTTTTTGCCTGTTTAATATAACAAATGTTTTTGCTTATATTCAGATAATGGCTCAGCAATTAGAAGAGTTAATATATAATGTTTTAAGAAGTGCTTACATTATAACGAATAATACGTATGTTAACAACAACAGAAATTCTTCTTGATTTTATTTCAAATAGTGTCAGTTTATTTCATGATCGTATCTGAGGGTCTCTAACGATACATTATATTACTACTAAAGATCCTTTTTTTAGCATAAACTGGTTCAATTTAGAATTATAGAAAAAATGAATAGTTTCTAGCAGTCTTGCAACTGCCATTATGTCGCTTTAAATGATGTTTATTTAATGTATTTTTAGTAATACATCATTGTTCTGTATTGGAGCAAATCAACCCTATGTATTTATCCATCGTTCCTATAAGGAATCTATTGGACAAACACAACAATTATTAAGTATTTTACAAGGTTTTGTTAAACAAACAAAAGAATCTGGTATGTATCGAGTGTGATACTTCTCGTTTAAATGTTAATTTGTTACTCTATTTAGCTAGTAACCATAATATTCGTTCATTTGATTATTCACCTTCTACAACTTCTGGCGCATCCAATTATCATCAAGATGATTGTAAGTCGTTCAAACGTTTTTTATTCAAACATATTGAATTAGCATTACTCGATGGATGGACTAACGATGGAGTTTGGCTTAATCATTCACGATCACGTGATTCACCTAAAATACATTTTGAATTATGTTCATATTATACATGGTTGAAATTATTCAATGGTCTAAAAGATATGTTTGCACAAGATACAAAAAATCAACGACTAAAACAACCGTTAAATATATTGAAAAGCAATATTGATCCAGATGGAAAACTTTCTGAAGCACGATGCAGAAAATTTTTACCCATGGCTATTAAACACTACGAAGAAGGACTACCCCCAAGATACACAAGAATTTATCATGAGCAAAGAGTAAGTTATTAGTGAAAATTAAAAATAAAGAGAAAGATCCTTTATCTTATAATTTTAGTTGGCAAAAAGTTGTGAATATTTTGAAACCTATGCGAGAGGAGCATGTTATAAGCGTTATGTTCAACAATTAATTGAGGAATGTACAAAATTATGGAAAGATTCACGACAATTGTGTGAAGCAATTTCTCTTACTGGAAATCCATGCAAGAATGAAGTAAGTGTACATTTGAGAATTCTCAAATATTTCAAAGTACATGTTTGCAAACTGTTTTTCTTCAACAAAAGTGATAGGTTTTCTCACAAACTTTAAAATACTTTGTTTTTTAACTCCTATTATACTATGTATTATCATTTCCAATGGACGAAATGTTTGTGTACTCTTTAAGTTCTTTCTTTAAAAAAGTATTATAAAACTTCAAGACAAAAATTTAGCTTGTTTATTTTAGTTACACCGTGTGCCCGGTGAATCAACATTTGGTATCGATACAGATCATGTTCCTGTTAAAGCACATAATAGTAAAGTAAGATATGTTATTGTCTGATCCTAATTTACGATTTATTAACAATGTCTATGCTCATTTAGATTGGATTTTTTTCAGCCAGTAATTGTGGTCAGATTCTTCAAGAGCGAGAAGATCCATTTGATTTGAAGGTTCGTTTATTTGATTTTACAGGAGGCGAAGTGATCCGATATATTGCAATATCGTTCTAGGATGCTAATTATGAGTTTTATCAAGAAGTGAATAAAATGCTGTCAACTAAACCAATCTACTTTGAATTTCCGATATTTCGTGGTACAACAACAAATGCGAAAGCTGGTAGGTTGACAAAAGAAAGGCAGTTCTACTCTTTAATGCATTTCACTTGCTATAATTAAATTATTTTTTACATTTTTTCATTTTTTAGGTAATAAAAAGAAGAAGAAAAAACATAACTCATCGAATTTAATCGATTTAAGTGTCGCTTCTGAATTGAGTATGTTTATTTTTATCTTTATTATATGTCAATTGTCATTTCATTTGTTTTTCTCTTCTTTTAGGTCAAACAAAATCAATCAATATGTTTTCGCCACCTTCTGATCTTATTGTTGGCGGAAAGCAGCGTTATAAAGAGCAAGCCATTGAAGGCGAAAAATTTGAACAAAAAGAAGAGGGAGATACCAATAATAATGGTATATAAATTTTATATTGAATTTTTGTATATAAAACAAATGTTCTTTCTTGTTTTAGAATGGATGAAAGCGGCATTAGAAACACCTGATGAACAATTAGTTAGTACGACAGAATACCTGGAAGGAATGACTCATTCGGAAAGTCCTCCAGGTCTATTACCAAAATTTAGTTCGTGGAGTTTATGTTGTATTGGAAGAGCAACAGATTATTCGCCAACGAAAGGTGAACTTTTCTTTTTTTTCTCCAAAGAATGGAATAAATTTTGATGTTATATTGGTCTTATTTTGTAGGAATTCAACAGCCAGGATTTTTGTCTAACTTAAACCATTTGGTTCCATGGGATATTAATCCGTATAGTGAACGAAATTATCGTAATCGTGGAAAAAAACCACAAGCCGGCGTAGATAGACGAGGTAAAGTGTGGAAAGCGACATCAAATATCGTATTTGTTGTGATAAAACTTTTAAATTTCAACATAGAAAACGAAATTGTCACTTCCACATCAAAAAATTCTTTTTTTATCCATTCAAAGGTTATGGAACGTCAGGATCGAATGCACATACAATTTGGGATGTTAACGTTCGCGTGTACATTGGTTGTGAATATGAATGTCCACGAGGTCATAGATTTATTTGTTCGTCTCCAAATCATGTTGTTCGAGTTGGTCCTAATGGAGGAGTGAAAGTGAGTATGGTTCTCAATCAGTCATTTTTTTTGTTTTCTCAAAAATCTTCACTGACTTTATATTTGGTTTTTAAGGATGATGGTCAAAAATTAGTTAGATCCGATATGCCGTTATATACACCTTGTTCGTGTCGTTTGAATAGTGGTACACGAGTGTGGGCACAATTGATGAGAGCAATTATTGTAAGTTATTTTGACAAGAAAAAATTTATGTAAAAATAAGAGCTCGGATATTTTTTTATTTATAAAACTTAAACTAACAATATTCTTTCTTAGGTTACACCAAATGGTCCTATTCAGTGTGTCTTGCGACCACAAGTAGTTCCAAATCCAACGTCTCCGACTTTCTTTCCAAGTTATTCACAACCGTTAATGTTAACAGAAGACGCCATATGGATATTAAGATTTCCATTCATCTATCATGGAGATGAAGAACCATACTATCGTCCAAAAGACGAGGAAGATATTAATCAATGTCTTGTGTTACGGGGACTATTTTCTTGGAGTGATAAACTTAGCTAATCTTTTTATTTGTTATTCTATGCTGTGATTTATTTGATAGAATATTTTGATAAACAAAAGAATTGTATTTTACAGCCATATGAGCTGTTCTTTTTTGTAGATTCGGAAAAACTACTACAAGCTAAATTGAAAAAGAAAAGTTCAACTATCAACTGATATAACGAAGAAACAATCGAACAGAAATTGTGGAAAAATATCAAAAACAAGAATCATAAGGTAGAAAGAAAAATGAAAATAACGTGAATGGTGTTGAAAGTTGTTTAAGTATAAAAATTATGGACAATGTGTACAAATGGGAAAAGAGCCAAAACAACTCAAAATTGTTAAAACTTAAGGATCGTTACTTTGTTCGTTCATGTATTTGTTTATAATTAAGAACATCTAATAAAAAAATAAACTTATTTATGCTTCGTATAGTTGGCAACGGTTAGGTAGTTTATCTCAAGTACTACATTTTATTCAGAAATACGATCTGTCCAATAGGGAACAATGATCTCAATCATTTTTAGAATACGTTGAGAATAAAAAGATTTCTCGAAAAACAGTGCTCATTCTATTGATTTTTAAAAGTTTATTGGTGACTAAGATATAGTGTACATAAATAAAATAAAGTATGTCTTGAAATTTTGAAATAATATGGATCAGTTTTGACTGACGAGGAAACCTTTTCAAGTGATAAAACGTTTTTTGATCGGAATGTAATGGGTTGTAGGTTATCGACCATGCTGATTCCGAATATGACTACGGGAGTTGCTATTAGCCCTCTAAAGATCCGGTTTTACGGAAAATCAGTTTTTCAGAAACTCTAAATAATAACCAAAACCCTTCTTAATGGGTCATGATTGTAGCTCGCAAATTTCTGATTAAAATGAGGCATCTCCCAGCTCTACACAACCTTTCTTTCCAAAGTTATAGAATTTACAAGAAAAGCCCTAAATTTATTTCTTATTTCTGTAGCTTTGAGCTGACAATGAATATTTAGGGCTGTTCTTGTAAATTGTATAACTTTGCAAAGAAGGTCGTGTGGAACTGGGAGATGCCTCATCTTAATCAGAAATGTGCGGGCTACAATCACGGCTCATTAACAAAGGATTTAGTTATTATTTAGAGTTTCTGAAAAACTGGTTTTCCCATAAAACCGGATCTTCAGAGGGCTAAGGGCAACTCCCATGATCATATTCGGAATCAGCATGGTCGATAACCTACAACCCACTACATTCCGATCAAAAAACGTTTTATCACTTGAGAAGGTTCCCTCGTGAGTTATTAATTTTTTCTTTTTCTGTGCGAATAACCAATACTGAATTAGTCCACTCCAAATGAGATAGTTCTAATCATCGTAATCTCTGATCTAAATGAACTAGTAGTGTTCTATTGTGCAGTGAAAATATTTCTAGACATGCACTAGTTCTTTTTTGAACATAAAAATCCAGTAAATTTTTTCCTATAAAATGAGTTAAAACGAGATTTGTATTCTCATTTGAAAAGGCGAAAACAGAAACAGTATCGGCCAGCTCAGAATACTTCCAGTTCTACTTTTTTAATATGAAATTTTAAGGCTGTTATAAACTTTTCAAATAACTTATTTTATAGAGATAAGCTTGGCTACAACCTGATATCATGAAGAATATTTGTTAACAAATAGCTTGAGGAATATAATGTACAATAAAATCCTAATCTTCGAGTTGATGAACTCCTAGATATTTCACTGATAAAAGTGAGTTTGAAAAGTCTTTTTTCGTGATTAGTCGCTATTCAAATGTTAGTTATACTCGTATGACATTTTATCTTGAAGAGGAGAGATTTATTCTATTAGTCTATCCTTTAAAAAATAAATTATGTCAACTCGATATGACATTCAAAAGTTGACCTTTTCTCTTCAAAAAGGGTACACTTGAAGTTGATTTTAGTCTCATTTTAGGTATAACTCAAATTCTCTTTCTTGTACACTATCTACAATTTTTGGATCTCTATTTGAAAAAATGTTCGATACATTTTCTAACTGAAATTTATTCAAAGACAATTTTTGGAAGAAAACATTGTTTCTTCAAAAGTTATTCAATTAGTTTGAATATTCTTGAAAATAATTGATTATAAAGTAAAAGAAATCCTCTTTGAATAAATCTCAGCCATAAATTTATGAAAAAAATTTGTCTTTCTCAAAAGTACTTGAGTAATATAATATGCCCATTCGATGGTTTTATGGATGATGATTATTATGATTATTGCTTTAATGTTGCTAAAAAATGCTTTGGAAAAATAAAAAGCGAAAAAGTACTTTTTTTAATCATTACTTTTTTTTCTCAATGATCGACTGATATCATAAAAAAAAAAAGAAAAGAAGATGAGACGATACATTTTTAATCTCTTAACAAATTTTTTGTGAAATAAAATACGTACGTTTTCAAACAATTATCCGATATAAAATATCTATACAAAAATAGAGAACTAACTAAATTTTGCACAAATTGATATTAAAATAATATTTATGTCTTTAATGGATTTTGTCTAGAAAAGTTTTACTATTTCTATATCAAAATGAAACAGAAAATATGAAATTAAAGTTTTTAAGAGTAACAAACGGTTTTAAAGAAAAATCAAATTTTTTTTTTTTTGTAGTATAATATACATGATATGTCTCTAGTCTACATAATATATGTCAAATTTTAAAAATCAAAATTTTTATTAACTATTTGTATTCTTTGACATCTGATTATAATTAATCGAGACAACTTGTATATAAATGGGTGTAACATGCAATTAACAATATGTGCATTTTATTTTTAATTATAAAGTATTGCACATTTTTTTCCTATATTAGAATTATCATGATTATTATGTAAAAATATTTCATTTTGTGATCTTATTCTTCCACCACCGGGCATATTTTCACTTGCATCGTTACTTGACACGAATACATAAATGTTATTACGCATTTTACTTTCAAAATATTTAAGTCGACAAGTTAATATTGAAAAAAATGCTCGACGAAATCTGACATTGAATGCTGTATAAATAATTGGATTAAGATTTGATGAAATATATCCAAGCCAACTTAATATATTTAATAGTGTTGGTGTTATATTACATGATGTACAAATTGCCGATAAAATATTTATAAATGAAAATGGTACCCAAGCAATTAAAAATACTACAAATACAATACCAAGTACTTTCATTGCTTTTCGTTCACTACTATGATGTGAGTCGAAGTGAAATGCGTGTACTGCTTTTTGTACTAAAGTATTATGTAAAAATGATCGTCGTCGTCCTTCACTATCTCCTTCAACATTAAGTGAAACTTTTGATGAATGAATTGATGGAACAGTTGTTGATGGCGTAAGATATCCTTTATGTTGATGAATTTTTTGTTGATTATCTTTGTCAGCAGAATAATTTAGAGGTGTAAAAAATTCACGATATGATGATATTGTTGATAATGGCACAGACGTTACACGAGTATGTACATTATTAGAAAAATTTGTAAGAGATGGCGTATTTCTAAATAGAAAAAGTTAATGATAAATAAAAAGTGTTATATATAGATAAATTTGAAGCTAGAACTTTGAATTTTATCAAATATCTAACGATTTTTAATTAGACAATTTTTTTAATTACTTTATCATTATCAATGTGAGATTATACATTACCGATGTGAGGTAATATTTGATTGATTATTTGTTAGATGATGATGAAGTGAAGAAGATGAATTTGTTCGACGATTTGCTAAAAATAGATCCTGATTTGCATCTGATAGCGTATGTGATCTTCTTGCTGAACGATGTCTTCTAAGTCGGTCAGTTTCATGATCTGTATGTGTTGGATTTTCATCTGGATCTGAATAACATTTTGCCACTTGAATTTGAAGTCGTCGAATTGTCATTGTATACATAATTATCATTAATATACAAGGAATACAAAAACAAATAATTGAACCATAAATAATAAATTTTCTATTATTTAATGCACATATTTTAAAATCACCATGATTTTGTAAAATATTTTTTTCATCACTAAATCCAAGTAGAAAAATTGCACAAGATATTGCAATAGAAAATATCCAAATAAATACTATTGTCATAAATGTTTTTCGTTTACTACGTTCACGACTACGAAAAGGACGAGCAATGTATAAAAAACGATCGATACTAATAGCAGTTAAATGCCAAATAGATGTTGTACATAATAGAACATCAAGAAATACGTATATGTTACATACGAGAGATGGTAACTGCCAAGAACCTAGAATAAAAACAAAAAGTTTTATTATAAATTAAAAACTTTTATTTCTCATAATTTACACCTTCTAAAAATTTATGTATGAAAAGAAATCTAAGCTAAACAATTCCTTTCGAAAAATATTTCAAGAAAGACAGATCTAGTTTCGACAGACAAGTTCTTATGGTATAGTTAATGTTTTCTATTAATTATGAATAATTAGTAACAGAAAATGAGAACTAGGAACAATGCATTTTGTTTTTTTTGAGTGCTTTTTCACATTATTTTCTTAATTTTATGAAAATAATATAGTTGAACATATGTAAATTATACACTCCTTTCGACGATTTCATTCTGAAAGATTGTAACAAGAAAAAATATGTATACAGTTAGCATTTAATTTAGTTAAAAAAAAATTTGCTTCTTCATTTAAAATCTGTTGTGTTAAAACGATAAATAGTGATAATTTCAAAATAAATTATGTAATTGATTATTATTAGAAAGAAGTTGAGTGCAATGCTATTAGTTGTACAACTAATATTTTGCCTTCATTTATGTTGAAGTGAAAGAAATACATCTATACTACGTAGTTTACATTAGATGAATTTTTATCGACAAACAGTTGTGTAGAACTAGTGGATGAAGGACAATATACTAATAACTTAAACCCAACGTATTACTATTAATCGTTCGCATTGTGTTGATATATGAATAAGTAACTGGTGAACATGTCTTATTTGAAAAGTTTTACAGTGTTATTTCAACGTCTTCACCAGTCAACAGTCATATTTGAATCACGGAGTGTATAAAATATGGATTTGACTTCAAATACGCGTATCGTTGTTACAGCTTATTAAACACATATAAATATACGAATTTATTTTGAAATCGTTTGTTGGAATACATCAGAGGATATTGCTGATATTTTTACAAGTTTTAATTGATCCTCAATAATGTCTCATCTATACAGAAGAATTTTAGATAATGGCCTAAAAAAGGATTCGTCTTTGTTCATTTCACCTCATGTAGTATATTCTTACATTCTGTCGTGTTCCTAGTGCATGAAGACAGTAGTTTCAACTCCTCTACATGATTATGATTGATGGGCAGCCAATATGCTGCAGACAGATCAGACTTCAACTAAGCAAACCCACTTCTCAAAAAATTTATCATGTTGACTCGATAAGTATCGCTCGAAATCGTATAAATGAGCAACAACTATTTATATTTCTATTTTTTTAAGTTGTTTCAGTTGAAAACTTTCAACTTTGAATTTATTGGAACTAGCAATAAAGCGTAGTTGAAGTGGAATATCATTTCATAATTTGTGTGTCATAAACTCGAAGTGTCAATTCTGTCATAAATGTTGATAGTTTTTTTTTTTTTTGATAGTATGTTTAAAACAGCTATCTATTTCTGATTAGGTAGAGAAGAAAAATCAGATGTGACCTAAACTCTACTTTTGCATTACAATTTAATTCATTTTTTCAACAAGGCACGATTATATTTCTTTAGACATAGAATCAAGTGAATCTCAAGAGATAAGCTTGTTTAATAATACTTGAAAAATTTTTCCAGTGATCTTTTCTTGTATGAATAAATGATATCTAGGACTATCATCAACTACGATATTCCCTGTAGACTTTCTCTTCGTGCATCATTTTGAATTGAACGTATCCGTATAATGAATTGTAGTTCAGAATCATCACAAATAAAGTAACGATTTTCTTACAAAGGAGTCATTATTTGTAAAAAAAAAAAAAAAAGAAGAAAATAATAACGAAAAAAAAAGCGTTTTTCTAAAGTAAAATTGATAAAGATGAAATAGAAAATTAATGGCCTAGAATTATTCAAATAAACTTCTGAAAAATATATAAAATAGAACTATTAAATTCAATTTGAATGTGTGATATATGATAATTTTAGAACTAATATACAAAATATAAAATCTTAAAATTATTTTAAAAATAAAAAATAGCCTATTGTAAATTTGAATATTTGGATTACAATCGATTATTTTTAATATTCGACAATTGAAGTATTTTTATCTAACAACTTCGAAAATAACGCGCTAGTAAATTGATCCGATCATCATATTTGCATAATAGTAAATCTCAAGTGACTATCTTTAAAATTTCGAATGTGATTAATATGTTTATAGATTCAACGTCTCTCTTATAAGTTAGAACTGTTTTTGACTATCATTTTTAACACAATTTATGTATATGATATAATAATATTATTATTTTTTTTTCTTCCTTTTTATACCCACGTTAATATATTAAACCCAGCGACAAGTTTTGTGTTTTTTTTTTTACTTATATGATTCTCATCACAATGAACAAAACGATTATTATATATGGGAAAAAAAAAATGATCTATGATAATACAATTTGATTGAAATAATAGGAAGAGGTTGAACAATAAGACGAATATAGGCATAAATTCAATCAGAGTTAATAACAGGATGTCATGAAATATATTCTAAGAGGTCTTTTTTAACAAGTCAGATTATTCTACAATCAGGAAGATATACTATATCATGATATAAAATAGGAAAAGCAAAGATGGCAGTCGAATTACTATAATTATATATATATATATACATGTGTATGTGTTCGCATTATGAAAAGTACCATATTAATAGAAAAGAAATATAAGGGATTATTGAATCGAATTAAACTCATCTGTGGTTTTTCTTTGTTTATAAATGTTTAAAAAAAGAATAAAAAATAGAAAATTTTAATAATTAAAATTATAAATTAAACAGTTTTAATGATAAAATAAATGTATTAGATTTTTATTTTTTAACTTACCAACGAAATCTTTGATTATTGATAATGGTACCACAATAACACTAACTAAACAATCAGCAATTGAGAGGGAAAATAAAAACCAATTTGTTACCGTTTGTAATTGTTTATCTAATGTAATTGAAATACAAACGAGAACGTTACCAATTGTTCCAACAATACCCAATAACGATAATGAGAGTATAGGCCAATTTTTTTGTGATGTTTTTAACGTTAAACTATCATTAAATACTACGTCAGATAATGTTGATATATTATTGAATACTGAATCATTTAAAATTTCAATACCGTATCCAATGGAAATGACTAGTGGTGGTTGAGATAGATTAGCCATAAGTTGTCAACTACACTCATAGCTGATAGACTAAAATTATTTTTTTTCTCTCCTTTTCTCTCCTTTTCTCTCCCTCTTTCACAAAACTCTCTTTCTTTTACTCTATGCTAGTAATTGATTAAATAAAATAACAAATAAATAAATGGTTAAAAATTATTCGTAAAACTAAATAGTTTAATCTAGAAAAGATAAAAGAATAAACTTAAACGACACATTTATTTGATACGACTTTTCTATCTCTGTTTTATATAGTAAACATATATTTGCTAACTATTAAACTCAATAAGTTTTATTTTTTCTTTTACAGTTTTGAGTAAACTATGCGGAACAAAAGAAAATGTTTATAGGATGAAACAAAAAATATATTTTGGCAATGCGATACACCCATTAAAAGTCTCGGATGTTTTTGAATAGATTTTGCTTTCGAATACTCATAACAAAGAAAATTGTCGAACTGAAGAAGCAAAAGAACAAAAAAAATGGGTGGGTTTACGTAAACAAAAAACGGAACATATTTAATTTCAATTAGATAAATGATAAAAAATCCAAGAGAAAAAATAATTCCGGAAACAATTATGAACTCTGAAAAATTTTGCACATTCAAATTTCATCTATTAAATATGAATCAATTTTTTTTTAGTTCGAATCACTGGAAAACTTTCAAAAAGTTGATTTCTTACCTACATAGAACTTTTTCCATGCAAATCGTTCGATTGTAAGTAGATAATAAAAACTATACATTTTACCAGTTGAAAAACGTTGTGTGTTTCAATCATTCATATCTCTCTGATATGAGCAAGCAAAATTAGACCTTTTTAATGTCAAGTCCACTTTAACATATGACCATCTACTTGACAATAATAGATAAATTTTTTAACCATGGTTTATAAAAAGTCGATTTTCTATCAAGTGCACATGTTGCCTTATACTTAATTATTATAGAACACTATCTTGGAAAAACAAGATATCCACATACAAACACGCACTTATTTATATTAGTCTAGGTGTTAACGACAAGGTGATGACAAAAGTTTAACAATAAACTTAGATAGATTATTCCATAAAAGACTTGGATAAGCAAACAAACTAAATACTTTTTACGCAAAAAAGAGAAAAAAGTAAGTTAAGAACATTACTAAAAACGATTAAAAGAGAGACATCAAATATATTTGGTAATACAACAAAATGATGAATAATAAAAGATGTTTGATTAATCTGCGTTTGAATCAGCGAAGCAAAAATGATACAACTACTGTTCTTGATAGCTTGTTTCATTCTCTTATCATTCTTGGTAAGAGTGATACCTTGGTTTTCTAAAGTCAGAGCCTATAGACACTTCCCATACACAACGTTTGGACAGTCTAGCAGATGTCGTGCTAATAAGAGATACAAGAGGATTTAATCTGTGCAACACACTACATTATTTATGAAGTTTCAGCAGACTAAATAACGTTTTTTGCTTCCGTAAGTAGGACAACTATAGCTCTTTTATAAAGAGAGATATCTGTGCAGACATAGTCGTTTTTAATCAAACAAGCTGCAAACTTTGTGCCGAGTTCAACCGGGCAAGCTGAGTAACGAAGCCGTTGTCTAATGAAACAGAGTGATGGTCAAGCATAGATTGACTACATATTTTGTACATATGATTTCATATGAATGAAGGGATTGACTTAAATTTTAATTGCAACTCATGCATCTGTCATTTGTCTACACCTTATACTAACACCGAGAGGATATTTCCATACTACTATCCGTCCCAAAATACAAGGCTATCGGTTACTTTTGGAATAACTCATCACACTGATAGATAGCGACCTACGGTTTTCACCATCGGGTTGCTAAGACCCTAATACATATTTTTGTAAGGAGAAACTTGTTTCAAAATTTTCTGAAAGTGCGATTTTTCAGAAGATCTTTGGAAAACCAGCTTCGTTCTCAGAAAACTAACATACAAAGTTAGTAATTTTTTTGCATGCATAGGTAGTCCGGAGGTTATTCTACAAAATTATGCAAGTCCCAGCTCTCCAGCTATCGTCGTTCGGACAGGACTCGGTTTTCCCAAGCGGGTGTCTGTCTCCGAGCAGACATCTCTCGAAATCTCGGAATGCCATGGAATATAGGTAATCGAATATGCTGAGTATAGTGGTAACGTTTGCTTTTGTGTAGAAATGAAAATAACTTCGCCAGAGGCATTTTTGTGATAAAACGGTTTTTCACCTGTTACCAGCAAAAATTTAAATCCTTATCTCGATCAAATCTCATGCTGACTCAAGGAAACTTTCAGAAAATGCTCAGAACAGCTCATAAATCATTGCTAGACCGAGATATAAGGATTTAAATTTTTGCTGGTAACAGAACGCCTCTGGCGAAGTTATTTTCATTTCTACACAAAAGCAAATGTTGCCACTATGCTCAGCATAGTCGATTACCTATATTCCATGGCATTTCAAGATTCTCAGAGATATCTGCTCGGAGACAGACGCTCGCTCGGGAAAAGCGAGTCCTGTCGTCAGCTATCTATCAGTGTGATTGAGTTATTCCAAAAGTAACCGATGGCCTTGTATTTTGGGACGGATAGTAGATTGGATAATAAATAAACGCCAAGCAGCTTCATATGTTCCTCCGAAACACTGTGTTTCTCAGACAGTAGTAGTGATGGCTTAGGCACGTGCAAAAGGCATGAAGCAGCACTTACCGATGTTTCATTGAAATATATTTTTATCGCACTGATCCTTACATTCAAGAACTGTCAGACTTCATTCAGGTAAGTCATCAAAATTCTCAGCTGAAATTAAGCCAAGTACATCGTCGGCAAACAAGGAAGCCTTTACGAAGGATGGAAATCTATCGAGGTGATAAATCGTTTTTGGACTCAAACTACTATGATAAGATAGATCCTAGTGAGTAATGAAAAAGGTTTGGTTTCCCTGGGCTTCTGGTGTTGAGTTATGACTTTTTCCCATTTTTGGCCAACGAGCTGCGATAAAAGTCCAATTTTTTTATCTAAACGAGAAATAGTGGTGCTACATACACTACTACTTCTCTATTTAAGCATCGAGTTGATAATTTTTCTTTCGACGCTCAAGATAACGATCTAGATTCGAAGAAAGGTTGTGTATTTGTATTATTTCTCGTTAAAAAAGTCGATATCTCTAGGAGGTGGCAACTGGCGAAGCTCAAATTTTTTGCAGAAGAAAAGTACTATGTCTAGTAGTTAAAGGATAAATACGAGCTTTTATTGCAGCTCGTTGGCCGAGAAATCAAATTTTTACTATCCCAATCGTGTTTCTCCAAGAATACGGAGAAAATCCATAACTCAACATCGGAAGCCCAGAAAACCAAATTCTTCTGCGGACTCTCATTACTCACAACGATCTATCGTATCATATTAGTTTGAGTCCAAAAACGATGCATCACCTCGAGAGATTTTCTACGTGCATGCACTTGAATTTAGATCTACCATACATAAAATTCGGTCGATTTCGCTTCAGAATAAAAATAGAGGAAAAAGGTCAGTGCCATTTCCATTTCAAAATTAATACGTGTTATTTACACTGCTTTCTGAATGAATTTTCATATTTAAGTCACATAAAACATCGGATCTCACTAAAAATAAACTTTTAATTAAAAACTACGCTGTGTACGATTAAGTCAACAGTATTCCATTTAATACTCGAATAAAAATCATTTCCATTTGAAATTAAACGTTTATATTAAAAAATATTTTTTCAATATTTTTATGAGAAATCTTTCGAATAGAAAGAAAATCAGGTTCAAATGAAAAAAATCAAGATTGACTATCCTGAGTTATGCACAATAATAGTGCGCATGCTCCTTGACATAAAGTATCAGAAACAAAAGAAATGAAAAAGAATTGAACGGATAAAATCTACACTTTTACTGCCTCTCTTATTATTGCAAAACTCACCGATCGACGTTCATTTTAGGCAAGTTTGAGATGTATAAATCGGCTACTCAAGTTACCGCAAATGGACTATAAAGTGTGCGAATGATAATGAGAAAAAATAAAATGTTGTAGTTCTAAAAGTAGATTTTTCTTTTCGCATCTGCATAATTGAAATTAATAGAGAAAAAGACGATTAAAAGTAATAGCGCTATTTCGTGTGTTTTTAAAAAAAGAGCAAGAGAACAGGAAGGATAGGGAAGAGAAAAAAACTGAGTTGTTGGGTATTGAAAGAGCTATGCATTTTATTAGAAGAAAATAAGAGATACACAGATTAATGTGAAAATCAAGAGTAATAAAACATTTCTTACATGAACAGCTTCCTTGAATCTTTGTATATTTTCATAACAGCTTAGAATAGACATTAACTGAAACTAGAAGATTTAGCCTTTTACCTTAGAGCATCTTGTGTACGATTCATTGGATCATTGAAGAAAACTCAAGTAGAACCAAATGTCTATTGCTACCCACAATCGGTTAGTCTGATGGTTTTTCTTATACAACTGTTTTCTCTCGCATTACACAGCATATTGAGTGAGTAATTCCTTTGAGAGATTAAAAATAGGCACTTCACGACAGCTAGTTTTATGGTTTTTTTATTATGATTTGAATGGTTATCAGAGAAATGAATTCTTCTTGTAGTTATTTTATTACATATCATTATTGAAAAACAATTAGATGGCTCTAAATTTATTAGATACAAAGAGCAGTTTTATTCGATCAGAATTGTCTTTACTGATGATGCATCCGTGATACAGGTAAACGACTAACAAAATGTTACAAAAAAATATATAAAAATAGCTAGTAAGTTGTCATCCTGGAAGTTCAAATGTATTCTTCGTACGAATCGTCATATTCTTGATCATTGTTTATTATCTAAACGGGGAACAGAAAATCAAACAAATTAAACCGCGAAATACCTGCACATAAGGTTCAAATTTCAAGAATTAAGCTATCAGTAACACACTGAATTAACAAGTTAACATTTTCATCAACTAACATGCATTGATCAACAAGAGAAAAAATGTCATGCAGCTTAACAGCACAAAAATTGACCTTTTAACTTAACTAACTAGCAGTGTACTACTACTACCGTAGTAAAGATTGTGTTTCATTACCACTCCTAGTCCACATCACTGCCGTCAGTCTGCTCTAGTTTACCCCATCGCATGTAAAAGCATTAAGCAAGCGACTGACGTTTAATGAACGGACCACCCACGAGCCAAAACATTCAACAGACCCATCTGAAATTCAAAACCTTCTTCGCTTCCCTCCTACAAATGATAATTTCAGCAATAAATTTTCCCCTGAGTCCTATCTAATGAGAGCAGCTACAAAGAAACTATTAATCATGTGTCGATGAAGAAAAGTTTTATGACATGCTTCTATTGCTAAGCCAAGATAATGCAGATAACTAAGCCATCCTCAAACGGCCGTTTAATCTGTTGCGTGCTCTGCGATAATCCAGCAGTTCAAGATCACCAAACAGCATGAACCGACTACAATTTAAGTCATCCAACTGTGACTAATACAAAATTCATCTAGCCCTTCAGCCAAATAAAACCAGATAACCGCGAACCATCCAACGCACTGTCTCCGGACCCGGGCCAAAAAGTGCAAATCCAATCAACAACATAAACACACCACAAAAAAAATCCCGTCGAACGAAATCAACCAGTTTCGCTCCCAAACCGCTCAACCAGCGCCAACCGTAACAGCCTCCGTCACACTCAAAAACCATGAAGCAGTCGGAGCACTCCCGACTGATACATCCGGCGCGATGCTCTGAGCATATTTTGTTGTCTGTGTTAGAGGTGTACTATTCAGTGTAGAAGTTGTTCTTGTTGAATAAAATGTAGATCCGGTTATCTTTGAGACAGCACCGGCTAATGGTGTATTCGTGTTTAGATTACTTTTTGAAGAGTCCANGATGACGGCACATTAAGATGATGAGTCGTTTTCACACTCTCATATTGTGAAGTATCACTCAATAGAGTCGTCGAATTTGTATTCATTACTGGTGCGACAGTCGTTAGCACTCTAATCGTGGATAATGATGCTGTTTCATTTGACGTCAATGTAGAACTCACGTTTGACAGTCTTGTGGACATAATGGAGTTGTCCGTCTGTGTTAGAGGTGTACTATTCAGTGTAGAAGTTGTTCTTGTTGAATAAAATGTAGATCCGGTTATCTTTGAGACAGCACCGGCTAATGGTGTATTCGTGTTTAGATTACTTTTTGAAGAGTCCACCGACGTTTGTAGCGCATCTTGAATAATTGAGCTTTCGACAGCATTTGATGTTATGCTTTGAGCATATTTTGTTGATAGTCCATTGACAGAAGACGAACTGGAGATGTTATCGGTAAAATTAGATAGCAACGATGATAATGTTGTAATGCTCGATAATTGACTATCACTATTAATCTTATCGCTAGTAGACATCGATGTTGAATAAATTTGTGTACTTGTCTCGTCGAACTGGCTCGTCGTAGATGAAGAAGTTTCAGATGACGGCACATTAAGATGATGAGTCGTTTTCACACTCTCATATTGTGAAGTATCACTCAATAGAGTCGTCGAATTTGTATTCATTACTGGTGCGACAGTCGTTAGCACTCTAATCGTGGATAATGATGCTGTTTCATTTGACGTCAATGTAGAACTCACGTTTGACAGTCTTGTGGACATAATGGAGTTGTCCGTCTGTGTTAGAGGTGTACTATTCAGTGTAGACGTTTGTAGCGCATCTTGAATAATTGAGCTTTCGACAGCATATGATGTTATGCTTTGAGGATTTTCTGTCAGTCGGGTTATGTAGTACGTGGGGTTTGTTGTGGATAGGCGTTGTTTGGTTTTCAAGCTAGTATCATTCTGGGGCCATGCACTGGTGAGGTTAGCTGAACTTTTAGTATATGCGTTTTGTGTGAAGGAGAGGTCATGCGGTGTATGGCGATAGTCGGTTGTATATTCGCTTGATGTGATGGATAGTGGGATATTGTGTTTACTTACTTTTGTTGGCTGTGTTGTGGTATAGTTAACGGTGTTGATGGGGTTTGATGGGAGATCTTCGTTAGTTTGGTATGCTGTAGATTCCTGAGTTGGGCTTGTGGCATATATTGTTGACGAAATAATTGTTGTTGGATGAAGATTAGTAATGTTCGCGTCGGTTACTGTCGGAACGACGGGCAAAGTGTAGTCGTTGTAATTGTATTCAATGGATGGAGTAGGAAATAGGTTCCGTGTGATTGGTAGTGCTAGAAAAATAAATGTATTTATACGTTTATAGTGGTAGGTGAGGCTGATTTTTCTTACTCGTCAGTTGTATAGGAGTTGTGGGTGTTGGAATTATCTCTGTTTCTGCTGTTGAGGTCATTGCACTGCTGTCCGTGAAATCAATAGTGTTGTAGGTTTCTGATTTATCACGCAAAGTTAACGTCGTTGGGACAGTATCTTCAGTACTGGTATTTATTGTGACATGTGTGTCAGAAATCGCATGAGTAGTGGTAACTCGTGTATTGGTATAATGGGTAGTTCGGATGGATGTTGGATATGTTGTACTGGTTGCACCTGTTTGAAATTGCTTTGAAGAGAATGAGAGGATCGAAGGTGACTGTGAAGTATAGTTTTTATTGTAAAGAGTGTTAGTCGAAAATGATCGAGGCTGGGATGTGTAAGAAGATAATTTATTGGCCTGGTAGGTGTCTGAGGTTGTTCGGGTCCGAACTGACGGTCGGCGACTTGATAATGATTGCGAAGAAATTGTGATACTCTGGAATGTTGGTTGCAAACTTGTTTGATATTTTGATTGAAAAGTTGATTGATGGCGAGTGGCTGACGTATAGTCTATTGGTCCCTTTGAACTGGTAAGTAATGGGAACGTAGCTGTTGTTTGCCTTGGACGTGTTCTTGAGGTTAAACCATATGTAGATGAGATAAAAGTCTTTGGTAGGGAAGTGCTTGATCTATGAGTTATATCACGAGAAGAAATTGTGTAAGATATTAATGCTGCTGATTGAAGAGGTACAATGGTGGATTTATTTGATAATGTTGTTTCGTAGGATCTGGCTGAAGTTCCTTTACGATCTCTTTTTGTGATCAAACTTGTGAAACTAGGATAAGTTGTTTGTGATAATGAAAACAACAACGAAGGATTGGTGCCTTTGATTGTGGTATAAAGCGTTGCGGATGCTGTTACTGTTATAACTGTTTGCACTGTTGAACTTGTGTATCGCGTTTTCTTCTTACGTGGTCCTCTGGTTTTCTCCATAATACTGGAAACGGTTGACGTATAACTGCTGCTTAACGGAGGAGTATTTGTGGTATAAATGCGTACTGTTAACTGAAACTGCGTACTAGTCAGTGTGGAAAATAGTTTGGGCTTTTCTGTTCGAACGTATTGTGACGTAAAAACCTTGTTACTGGACGGTTGAAGGCTCACAGTGGAAAAAGAGATCATTGATCGCGTTGTGAAAATTGTTGGCGTACTTGTGCTCTGGCGCGCAGGTCTAATTGTTGTTGAAGGAAAACCAGTATTTTGTGCAGGAAAAAACAGTGTCGTGGTTTCTGGATCATAGAATTGCGTGCGCGATCTGATACTAGTATCCAAAGACACAGTTGAGAATGGAGAAGTAAAATCCAGATCCGGCATTAAGGGGAAATCTGTGGTTTCGTATGTCGAAAGTATTATTTTTGTTGACGTCTCTGTTTGGTAATTGCCATAAACAGTTTCAGTCGACGACACACTACCATTATCAAACAAAGTTGAATTTTCGACTTGAAAATCTTCGTTCGATGACGAAAATAGACCATCAAAAAGAGTTGAATGCGAAGTGGACTCGGATGAGATTAATGTTACTTGATCGCTAGATATATTATTGAAATTAAATATAGTGGAAGTTAATTCTGATTCGTAATATTTGTCTGTGGAGCCAATCATACCAGTAACCAAATCAAATTTTGATGAGGAGTCCATCGTTGTTTTGCTAACCGAACTTGTAATAAAACTTGACGACGATTCAAATGTAGTGAAATCAAGATTATAATCTGTTGTCGAAGATGGTAAGGATGGCGGTAGTGTTGAAGTGTTTAATAAATCGAACTGAGTAATATATGATGTGTATTCGTTTGATGTTTCAGGAAAGATAGAAGTATCATCTACTGCTGTAAATAGTTCAGAAGTTAATTCCGAGAATGAGGTGGTACGTTCAAGTGTAGATTCTAATGAGCTAAATGTGTCAGTGGAAAGTGAATAAGATGTAAATGAAAATGTGGACAACAGATCGGTAGATGGAGAGGTAAGAGTTTCGATTGTAGTCAACATGATTTGAGAAGAGGAATCTGTTTTCGTAGTGTGAATGATAGTTGAATAAATCGGTGGTTTGGAAGTAAAAGTATTAAGATACTTTGATTTATACGTTGTCAGTATTGCGGTCTGTCTAGTTTTTGTAGAATTTCTAGATAAAGACGTTGAAGTTGATTGAATAAAGCGACTCGACGATGATAGACGTATATGATCAGTTGTAAATAATATTGTACGAGTTCTAGTAGTTGATATGTTATTGAAACTATTTGTCGAAGATTGTGAAATGATATCTGTTAAACTCGATAATGTGGAACGAGTGGAAGATGTCGTGATACACGCGTTAACAGGTAATAAACTTGGCAATATTTCTTTTGTCTCTAATACACTAAGTCTTACGGGCACAACTAAATATGACACAGTGTTATAACAAACACGCTTTTATTAAGCATTCAACTTACTCCAGCGTGAAATATTCGATGTTGAGCAAACATCTGAAGAAACTGTAGTCGTGTTTATTACTAAATTTAACGGTATTTGGTATGCTGAAGTATTTGATAATAACCGTCTTAATGCCAAATTTCTTTGACCTGTGCATGAATCACATTGATCAAAATATACTTGTATATTACGTATAATAAATGTTGTTGAACATTCTATCTCTCGTCTACAATGTATTATAACAATTCATGATGAATACTCGGTAAGTTACAAAAAAAGCTTTTTTTCGCTCTCTTCGATAATTGGAACAAATCTGAAAAAAGATTGGAATACCTGAAAGAGTTTCTAATCTGATGTGGTGCATATAAAAGCTCCTCAGAATATTTTATCATAAAATTGGATTCAATGTACAATATGTCTCAAACTGTCAAAACTAACAAGAATTCACAAAAAGTGTGCGCATTCGTGACGTTTCGCACATTTTTGAACAAATGTTGTGAGGAGCTCATAAGAGCATTTGACTTTGTTCAGAACGTTTGTTCTATACAATGCAGTTATTTGAAAAGAGTCCCTCAATCAAATTCGGCAAATTAAAATAGGACTTTGAGTTTTACAGCGACCTCGATTGAAAACAGTTCTGATGAAATCTCTATCACCACATCAAATTAGAAATTCTTTCAGGTATTCAAATCTATTTCCCGATTTGTTCCAACTATCAAATTCAAGCGAAAAAAAATCGAAAAAAAAAGTAACTGAATAATGTTGAGACTCAATGTATGGTTGAAAACATACAAATAAGCAAAATCTGTTTATTCACCTTCGTCGTCTAGCATTGTTCTGTTGAACTAAAACTGAACTAACAAATAATCCTCTAAAACCTTGTTCATTTTGTAATTGACCTGTTAACTGAAATAGAGAAACTAATGTTAATTCGAAAAGCAAATGAAAAATTATAAAACTTTGAAATACCCATTTTTGAACACTAGCAGAATTGTCGGCGGACAATTGTGAATTATCAACAAATTTATCTACAAGATTGTTCATACCATAGAATAAATCACCGATGTCATAACCTTTGATTAGAATAAAAAATTAGTATTAGATTATTCAATGTGCACGTTTTATACACTCACGTTCAATATCCCCTAATCCAATTGAATTATTTTCTTAAATTACATAAAATACATTCGTTCATGTTTTATATTAATATTAACTGAGAATTTGGTACTTACTTCCAAATGTAATAGATAAGACAATGATAATAGCCGCTAGACCAACAAGACCAAATGTGATAAACAAGGAGCCAACGAACCATAATGTTTTTTTAGACTTTCTAAAAAAATCAAAAATTAAAACAGTAGTGGAAAACTAACTTTCTACTATATTCAAATTCTGTATAAATTTCTCACGTTGGAATTATCGTAGGGGCAACGTCCATACAAGATTTATTCGGTGTTTTTATGTCTTTAAACGAATGATCAATGTCATTTTGTAACTGTTCAATTGCATCCGACTAAAATAAAATTGTATATAAGGTTAGAAGAAACTAAAATGTTTTTGTTTTTTGTTGCTGAGCATTTTTTTAAACATCAATGACAGTTTAATATGAAAAATAATGAGAAACAAACAAATTTTAAACTGGATAAGTAGTCACGACTTATAAATTAACGACATGCAATGGTGTCAATATTTTATTTTATTTCTGTTCATTCTAAATAAAAATTTCATATCGAAATATGAATATAAAATAATAAATACAATGATCTGGAATAGTAGTCGATGGTTCATGAAGAAAAATTTGTCTACATGAATAGTCATCATAGCAGCTACCTCATAGTACTTAAAACATTTGGATGATTGTGCCCGACGTTTATACTGTGTCGGTTGTATACTGTTTTTTGCTAAAATTTTAGCGAAAACTGGCTTAATTATAAGATCTTATTCTTTAAGATTTTAATAAGACCTTACCGTCTAAGATCTTAATAAGATTTGATCACCCTACTTTCATTCACTTTTTTTCTTGCTCTCATTTGTCTATATAAGTAACACCGAAAATATGAATGATCTTACAGTTATTTTTCTTCCAACTCTGCTGGTACTTGGTCTCTAGAAAGTGTTCAACAAATTTTTAGAGAGTATATATGCAGGCAGAGATCCATGGTCGAACACCCGAAAATATGAAATTTCTCTTCATTTTTCAACACTGTCACAACTGACAACTGCTGCTTTGAATAATGTGGATTAAAAATTCAAAAATTCTCAACGGATCTCGATGAATATTATTAAAAAACGTCATCATTCTTACTATTAAGATCCTAAAAGATTCTTACCCAATCTTGAAAAAGTCTTAGACAAAATGATCTATATCTTAGTAAGATGTTAGAAAAATCTTATCACATCTTAAAATTTTCCGGTCTTCCGATCTTACTAAGATTCGATTAAGTCTTGTAGGAGACGTGGGTTGAGGCTCGAATCTGCCCGGTAGAACTTAAAATTACTGACTGTTTTAGAGTACTGCGGATGAAAAACAAGTTATCTCTCATAAAAGATCTATTAGAATTGATGATGGTTTTAATTCAAACAATGCTTCATTACAAGTCTTTGTGATAAATAAATTAGATTTGATTTAGGATGAAATAACTCACCATTGGTACAACTTGTACTCGTCTTACATACTGCATTGTTGTCGTTGTAGTGACAGTTGCTTTTGATAACTGACCTTTGTCACCGTTTAACCGAATTGTATCAGGTTGTACACGATTTTTTCTCATCTTCTTTTTCTTCTTCTATACAAATATTAAAATCGATTACATTACTAAATTATCAGCGATATCATTATGATTTTCTATTAAATATTCATCGTCTATTTCGTATTAATTATATGAAATCGTATATTGGAAGCTCTGCATTTTTTTTTTGTTTAAAAAAAATAAAAATTTTCATACAAATAGTAAAATGAGAAGTGTCTATATTATATTATTTTTTTTTTCTTTGATGAGAGATGTACGAGATGAGATGTACAAAAAAAAAGCGTATGAATTGAATAGTCCTGTTATTGTTGAAGGTGACTTTATCTTTTTCGGAAGAAGTAAAAGAAAATTTTAGTAGTTCTTATAAAAGTAAAATAACACAGCACAATTGAAGCATTTTTTATTCATACAGTACTTGCATAGAATATAAGCCGATGAGCGTAATAAAAAAGAATAAAAAAGAAAAAACAACGATTGACATCCTTCGTGCTGCTAATGGATATACACATTTTGACCTTGCATATAGGGAAACAAATAACGTTTTCTCAATTTATTTAGAGAATGTCCAGATCAATAAAAACAGTACCGTTTTACAGAACACTCCTATACCATTTATCACTGTTTTAACGCCATGAAATTCAGGACGATTTACGATTTTCTTCATAAAAAGTTTTTACGCCGTTGTCGAAGATAATTATCATCGCATATTAGAAAATGTCAGTTTTTAGTTAGTTTAATATAAACTGATATGCGATACAGTTACTTAAATTTTGTTTATTCCGTCCATGGTACTAGTCCTAGGAGAGCAGTATTACCATTGAACTGGTAATAGCAAAATAAAAAGTAAATAATTTATTAGCAAAATAATTCAATTAAAACGACCGTTAATCAGTCGGTTTTTTAACCATCAATAAATAGTGAATCGTAGTACAAACAAAAATGACGATTTGTATTACTAACCGTTTTCTAGAACGTTAACTGCAACTGATAAACGGTTACTAACCGTACCGCGCCGACGAGAGCACCTGCCCCTGTGTCCAGTCGCTCTTTTATACGACTAACTTGACGAGTTCTACTAACTGAACAGATCAGAATTTGTCTATCATGGAATTTAGAGTGGGCCTGTAGAGACCGGTTTTTAGAGATTCACATGAAAAATCCGCATCAGTCGGAATGAACAATGTATTCGTGAGCAGCATAAAAAATAACCTACAACCAAGAGAAAAGCGATGGACAAAGGGGAACTGCTCTTGTGAATGAAGATGCATCTAGTCACAGAAATTGTGTATACTCATATTCATAGAAAATCTCAAAACTTAACTAATTTTTCCCAACATTGAATTTCAATAACTGTTAGACTTCATTGAGTACGTTTTTCCTTCAACTAGTATTTGCAGCCGCGTATCACTGTAATTTGGAATTATTTTCTATTTTGTAGAAAATCGATGTGGAAAATCGCCAAGGATTTTCCAACTTTTATGAAATCTTCAACGATTTTCTGACTGTTTAGAAAAGATTGAGTTTCTACTTTATAGAAAATCAGCTCGATTGTGTATGAATTGACTTTTCTTATTTGCCAGAAAATCAATGAGGAATTTCTAAAAAGTTGGAAAATCGACCGCGATTTTCTAACTTTCTTGAAAATTGAGTTGCATTTTCTAGAAATAATTCCCAACAATGTAGAAAATCATGTCGATTTTCCACATTACTGGAAATTCGATTTTCTATAATCTGGAAAATCCTTGATGATTTCATATATATGGACTTTTTGAAAATCGCCGAGCATTTTGTATAAATAATTTCCGACTTTACAGTGTATTAGTCAATGGTTGTCAAGAAAATTTGACGAAAATAACCTGTATAATAAATAATGATAAACCAATGCTTTTTTATTTCGATTTCTCATAATATTTCTTTTTGCCTTTTTAATGCGAAATCAACCTTAAAATGTTGATTCAAACTCAATCTATCAGTATGTATTCGATAACATCTAAATTATTTTCCCATATATTTTGTGTAATAGACAATGTAATCTCAATATTTAATTAAATTCAACCGAGAGAAAAATATGTCAAAAATAAAAGATGAACGATATAATTATATATCTTATGTTGGACCAAAAGAAGATGAAGAAATAGTCGAAAATTTTAAAATTCGTTGGTCAAGAGTGACTCCGTCTGATGCTAACATTACATTGGATAAGTTTCAATTAATTCGAACACTAGGACGCGGAAGTTTTGGTCGAGTTATTTTAGCATTGTTAAAAGCAGAAAATGCAGCAAAAGTTGTTGGTGCAGATGGAAATAAATTTTTTGCTATTAAAGTGATGGACAAAACGAAATTGGTACGTTGTTGAAGAATGAAATAAATCGATATTTACTCTTGTTGTTGATACAAGTATACTTTATGACAGGTTCGCTACAAACAAATTGATCATACATTGAATGAGCGAAGGGTATTATACAGTGTACAACATCCTTGTACAGTCAAATATTTTTTTAGTTTTAAGGATAATTCCTATGTTTACCTTTCAATTGAGTATATAACTGGTATGAGAAAATGAGAAGAAAAAGTTTGGTCACTGTTATTTTTATCTTTATTATAACTGAAATATTTCTATTGTTGTTCTAGGAGGAGATATGTTTTCATATTTAAGACGTGTGACAAAATTTAATGAAAAACAAGCAAAATTTTATGCGGCACAAATCTATTTAGTATTTGAATATTTGCACTATTTTGATATTTTATATCGGGATTTAAAACCTGAAAATATTCTCATTTCCGAAAACGGTTATCTAAAAGTACGTAAAGTGTCTACCAGAAAGAAAACTATTTGTTAAGAACACTTAAAAGCACTAGATAATCTAAACATTGTGTCTGTATGAGAAAAGACAAAATGAATTATTAATTAACAAAATATAGAGTTCTTAAAGAATTCTATATTTTGATACGGAAAAAAAATGTTTAATTTCCTGGCTACACTTTATTTTAGGTAACAGATTTTGGGTAAGTTTTTGTTGTAATACTGATCAACACTAATGTTTTCTATAAGAATATGCTTAGATTTGCTAAACATGTTTCTGGACGAACATATACTCTCTGCGGCACGCCAGACTATTTGCCACCTGAAATAATCAAACATAAAGGATATGCCAAGTCTGTCGATTGGTGGAGTGAGTATAACTAGTTATTACATTGAGCAAAAGTAGATATGTGCACTTAGTTTTATCTAACTTTGACATTCTTTTCCTCCACTCAATCCTCATTAACATTATATTTGAATTTTTAGCATTTGGAATATTAGCATTTGAAATGGTCGGTGGTCAACCGCCCTTTTCTGGAAAGGATCACATCCAGCTATATGAAGCGATTGTAAATCAACGTTTTACATCACCAAATTATTTTTCAGTTGAATTGACCGATATGATTCGGAAACTACTGGTTGTCGATGTTAGTACACGTTTAGGTTGTATGGCAAATGGAAACAAAGATATTCAAAGTCATTCATGGTTTGATAATATTAATTTTGCTCGTATTTATCATCAACAAGAACAACCTCAATATAAGTATGTATTTTTTATCAACATTTTTAAATTAATCACAGTTTTAGAAATGTTTTTCTTTCTTGTAAGACCACCAAGAAAAGATCCATTAGATCCATCTACTTTAAACCATGCCGAAGAACCTGTACGTGTTTCGCGACATCATTTACACGAAGAAGAATTTAAAGGATTTTAGCAAGAAATTGAACTTCTATCTACAACCATATTATCCCATCATTTCTTCTTTTATTATATATCAAGCTTTCTTTTTATGTAACCACACGTATTTAAATTATTTTTTTTTGTTGTGTACTCTATAGTCCGTATACATACAGGTTCTCATTACAACGTATGTGTGAAAAGGATACACTACTTTCGTTTTTCTACGATAATTCGGGTGCCAAATCATATCGAAATGACTTAATTTTATGTAGAAGAACCATTATTATTCAGTAATTTTTGATAACAAAACTTCAACTACGTGAGAGCTTTGTAATGAGCAAATGCGAACAAAACTATTTCGGTATTGTTCGTGAAGAAAAATTGGTAAAAACCAATTAGATGAAAATAATGAATACAAAATTACAAGTCATTTTTAAGAAAATAAGTTCGAGTTTAATCAGTTTTATTAGTCAACCGATTGCATCGTAATCATTGGTGGCGTTTTTATTGTTTGTTTTGGTTGATTTTCTTCTCCATTTTGACGACGATGATGATGATGATTATTACTATGTTTACGTGGTGGTAAAGCAATTAATCTTGGACGAGCTGTTAAACTAAATTCATTGGAATACGCTTCTTGAATAATATTCCATAGTGTATTTTCAATAATATCTTCGAGTAATGATGTAAAATTTGGATTTTCTTTAAGTTTTCGTGAATTAATATCATCAGAAAAAAAATTTTCCTCTCGCTCATACGACGATGCTGATGATATTTTTCTTCGTTCATTATATGGTTGATATGGCATGTCACCCATAGTTGGTGATTCTAATCGGCCATCTCCCCATGTTAAACTTTGTTCATGTTCAGGTATGGAGTCATCTAGTAAACGTTGTTGTTGCTTGTCATCTTCAATTTCCTTTATTGTTCTATTTCGTTGAGATTGGTGCTGTTTACTACGATCGCTCAATTGTTCATTCGATCGTGGACTTGTGTCCTTTGACTGTCGAGTTATTTGCTGTTTTCTCTTTGTGTATTGTAACTGTTTAAAATAAGGTATTGGCTCAGCAATCATTTTAGGTACACTGTCAATAAATACACGATCACATAGTAAACTTCTTATAAGGTCACTCAAGGCACCTTTAATAGTGTCTGATTCATCGATATTAACAGTTAATATACCAACATTTTCTTCTTCCTCTTGAATGTCTTGTTCGTCTCCGCTAAAATTTTCATCTTGTCTTCGTTTTTTTTCACCTAAAAGAATGAAGAAAAATGTGACAAATAAACAGCAAAATTATTTATTAAAACTCACCATGATGTTTATAATCTCCTCCTAGACAAGTATCGATAAAATATTTATTAATCTCTGTTAAATTATTGCATGTTTCTAAATATTCAGTATAGACTAATGTTCTCGCTGTAAATGCTAAATGTAATAATTCTGGTATGGGCATTGGTGGTCTGCTGATTGCCTGACGTTGTTGTCTCAAACGTTTGGTTCGATCATAGTTTGATTCATCCAGTTCATAATTAACAACAATTGGTGGTAATGTTTTACATAACTGTAATGTTGATGATTGAAAATTTGGTGTATCACGTTGAAATGTTATCGGCAATGGTGATTTTGTACCATTGGCTGATATTTTTTCGTTATCCAACGCTTTTCCTTGTAATAATGTTTCATATTCAACGTCATCAATTTCAAATCTTTGCCATCGTTCTTTTATTTCATTTTCCCATTTTTCAACGTCAGAATCAAATTTATTCATAACCGACTCATTATATACTTCACAAACAAGATCTATATCGTGAAACGATGGTGCTTCAACAGCCATAAATGTTACTTTAATTGGAATACTTTGTTTTGGTTCAATTTTACCACGTACTTAAAATAAGTAAATCATCTATTGTTTATTCAACATGAATGCAAGAGGAGAAAAAAAAATTTACCTGGTTGTATTCTTATAAGTCGTACTTGTTCCGGATTTGTTACATGCCAAATGAACGTGATACTATCCGTGTTTGAGTTATTTGTTAAAAATGTAACACGCCGTTGTTTCGTAAATAACGGTACATTTCCAAATTGAAATCGATCAACATCTAAACTGGCTAAACGATCACTTAATTTCAAACGTGTTTCATTTGGTAATGTTATCGAATTGTCAATAGTATCGAGTGTATTATTGTTATCGGTATATTCATCAATATTTGTATCACGACTATCGAATCCACTACCAACAAATGTGATAAAAGCTGGCTCTAAATCTTCTAGATGAACTTTAATATTAAATTTATATTCACGTGCTTCGAGTGGATTAAACACCCACTGTGTAATAAAACTTTTTTGTGGTAATATTGTACCTTCAGGTGTTAAACAATCCAACACCCAAAATCCATAATTTGTTGTCGATATTTGTTCTAATTGTTGCATATCAACCTATGAACGATGGTGATTTATAAAGTAAAGAAACTTAAGAGTTAAAGATTCGATGAAAAAAAACTTACTTGAAAATGAACAGGTACGGTACCACCATTCCACAACTCATACTGTTGTACGGGCGCACCTTGTTTTCCTAATTCAACGGGTAATAAATTATGCGTAGTACTATAAAAATGTACATATTTTTCTCCTGGTTCAACACTGACACCATTTAAATTTAACATGATTTGTCGACCACGTCCAACTTTAAATAAAATTGGTAATACATGTTGACCGGCAAATATATGTTTATACGTAAATGTTATAGTAACTTTTTCATGTTTTTTTAATACACCTTTTTTGGGATTTATATGAAATATTTTATTATCTTGTAGTTTCATTTCAGCCAATTCTTCTTCTAAAAACAAGAAAAAACTAGATATATATACAATTCTATGATAAAATGGCAGATTTTTTACCTGTAAAATCTCCTGTTCTAGCCCAATATTCTAATTCACATTGTAAATCTTTTGGAAATAAAAATGACCATTCTGTATCTAAATCACCTCGATTTTCTAATAATAAATGAACTTCTGATTGTGGTGAATTAACTGGAGCTGCATTAAAATTAAAAACAATTGCTTCATTTTGTTCATCTTCTGTCATTTTCTTATCATCGTTTCTATCCGTAGTATTTGTTTCAACAACATTTTTCATATGTATTTCAGATTCTTTTCCCATAATTTTAATTGATTTTTGTTCATGATATTCTGTCTGTGGAAATATAGCATAGGTTAATTCCAATGAACTTGGCTCTTTGGCTAATAAACGATTGATTGTTTTTAAATTAAATGCTTTCCATAATAATGATTTACTTAGTGATGCTGAATTATTAGATCCAGCGACGTCTGTAAATGCCAAACAAGGATAAACTCCATTTACAGTTAATTTACATAGAGAAAATATACGATCATTTAAACATGTTCCATTATCATCGAGTAACTCATAGAATATTTCTAGCTGATATGTTGAACGACTAAACGGATGTATACGAAGTGGTACACGTAATTTTGCACGACCATCAATATAACCTTCATTTGGAAAAAAATCAATAATTAATGGTTCATCATTGTTATCGATATTCGTTCGATCTATTCTATTTCCACGAAAATTTGAAGTTGATGATAATATTTTATTCGTTTCGACTGGATATGTTGTCTGTTTGGCATATAAACGATAACGTAAAAGACAATCATTTCCATTTGTAAGATAAAGATCATGAACAATTGATGTACCCAATGATACAAAACCTAAATCTTTATGTAATTCATTTGCTTTTAAATATCCTTCACGAGTAGAAACAAATAAATTCATTTGATACATCTCTGTGCCATATGTTTTCTCTCCTATCCAACTTGCTAAACGAGCACGAATATTATTTCTACCTAAAAAAATAAAACAAAAAATTTGAAAATCATTCAGCATTGTTATTTAAATACAAATTTAACCTTCATCTTTAGGCCTATAAATAATGATAAATTCTTTTTCTTCATACGGCGTAATTGTACCATAAGCTGGTTGAATTAATAGTTGATTATCATTATCATTTTGTTTATCAATTGTCCATGAAAACTCAACAGGACTACGTGTTAATGATCGTATTTTAATATTTGTTTCTGATTTTAGACCAATACAGGTAGGTAGTACATAAATTTGTCCATCATTTGGAAATAATAAATGTGGTTTTTCAATTGTTGCAAATACTGTAATTGGTATATCAAATTTTTCACGATCATTTAAACGTAATATTAATTTTTCTGAATAGACACTAGCATGACTTAATAACGATTCTTTTGGTTTAAATTTTAATATGATAATACAATAATCATTTTCATTAATATAGCCACTATTTGGTTTAATTGATAGACATGTTTGATCAATATTTTCAATTAATAAACGATAGACAAATGGTGTTGTACCCGTATTCATTATTGTTAACGTTTGAAATATTGGATTACCATCGGATTCTGGTGGGAATGTGACGATAGTACGATCAAGTTCACATTTGGGTATAATTTCATGATTTTGTAATAGAGTATTACCAACACATGTTACTTCCATGTGTGTCGGTAACATAATACCATAATCGGGTACAAGTGAAAAATCACGTTGATTTTTATAAAATGCATAGGCTTCAAATTTTTTTTCAAAAAATTTATCATGAACTCCGGGACGAAAAATAATGCGAAATGCTGTTGATTTTAATGGTGGAATTTCACATGTTGCAGGAAAAATAGAGAAGGTTGACGACTGTTTTGTTGATGCTGTTGTACCATCATACAAATCATTTGTCATCCATATCACAACAAGTTTACCTTTTGTTTGATTTGTGACCGTTAAACTCTTTTGCCACTCATTATTTTCTGTTGCCACCGAACAATTATCAAAATAAAAATATGTTTCACTTAATGTAACAAAATCACTTCGTACATTTGTATTTCCATGATAACCATCATCAATGTACCATGTATAACGATCCAATATATTTGTTACTGGTGGAAAAATAAGGTGTTGCTGATTATTATTATTATCAGCTAAACTGACACTATCACCATTATAAATTGCTTCGAGTGTATCGCTATCCGGCTGCGCTTCGTACAATGCACCATTTTCATCTCGAGCTAATTTACCTTTTGTTATAAATTCAGTTAACATTTCAAATGGATATGTAGCCAAATGACGCTGGCATAGTCTTTTAAAATTTTCAACATGTTTTTCACTTAATACTGGTGGTTTGCCACTATCTGTGTGACAGGTGCCATAAACTTCGACTAAAACTGGTGCTTGATGCTCGATAAGGATAGGTACGATTTTATAATAGCCAGCTGGATAAATGGGAACAAATGTGACGACAATCGTCTGTTTATCTGTTCCAGAAATAGTACCTTTTTGAACAGAAAAATGAAATGGACTATCTAACGGATTTAATATTTCAAAATGAGCCACATTTGAACTTTGATTTTTTAATTCCAGTATACGGCTTGTTTTTCCATTCTAAATGATAAATAACGACTATCATTAATAAAGAAAAAATAATGCAAATCTACGACATACCGAAAGCACTTGCCCAAATCCAAGTTTAGTTGTATTTATTTCAATCTGACTTCCTAATGATACACCTTCACATTCAACTAGAGCAGCAACCAAACCAGATAGCGATAGCACACTGAAATAGTCACGGAATGTTTGGCCAAACGTTTTAGGTTCAAAACTCATTGTCATAGTATGTTGTGCCAATGGTTCGATACATCCACGTGACTGTTTACAATAAAACGGTACGTCGAATGGTGGCACACCTGCTAGATGTTCAACTTTAAAAGGTACACGAAATGCTGAATGATTAGTTATTGTAAACTCTTTCTTCACGCATACATTAATCGGTACTTTACCAAAATTTAAAATAACATTTTCATTGTTATTCATGTTCATATCATCCGATTTCACAATTAAATGAGGATATTTTCCAGTACCAGTTAACGTCATTTCAATTAAATCTGTATCACCATATTTACACACTGCTGTTGCTTTATAAACCAATGCCCACACTGGATTAAATACACACTGAAATTGATGATGTCCTTGAGGTGCTATCGAACATTCTCGTGGCTCGATAATAAACGGTTCTGTAACGTCCCATTCTATTGTTGCATCCAAATCGCCAATATTTCGTATTTTAAATGTTCTGGTATATACATCTTGAACAGCACAGTATCCAAAGCTGATCTCACTCGGTTCAATTTTAATTTTATGACGAGGAAGTAAACCCAATAATTGTATTTTTTTCTGTTGATTATTAATATACACGACAAGTTCATCTTGGTATTGTTGTTTTTCTAACGGTTGAAAATTGATCGGAAGCGTGAAACTGACACCTTGACTTAGTGTTACACGTTTTGGATAAATCGTCTGAAATGCTCGTGTTTTTGGTACATCATAACTTAACTGAACATTACGTCCGGATAAGTTTTTTAACGATAATATTTCGGTATAGTTGTCGCCTGGAGTCCAATTACGAAAAGCAACATACTTTACAGTTTCCACGCCATCCCAATTTACTTTTGGAGCACCGTTATAAATAGATAACGGATTGAGATTAAGATGATCAGCCGAAGCACAATTCAAGCTCTGCTTGTTTCGAATCAAACCCGGCATCTTTTCGACTAGTTCATTGAAAAAACTGAGAGACAACCTTCTTGAATATAACTCTATGACAGGAAAAACAATTTAATGACAACTCTCGAGCTAAAATGCTTTTAGTACTGTTAGGATCTGTCGTTCACAAGCTATTTTGAAGAATAAAGTGCGAAAAATATTTTGGGTTTATAGTGCATTAATATATGACATATGATGTACTATTTCATTGGTCAATTTTATTCGTATCCTTAGCAGTATTATTACGCAGTGCTAGCTCGTATGAATTTGATCTACAGCGCGACTAGAAAGACCGGGAGACACTTGATTCCAAATAGGTTAAGATATTATATGTACACAGTTAGTAAAAAGATTCTGAAAAATCCTTCAAAGTTTTCAGGGTCCGGGTCAAAGAATCTTGCTGTAAGATCTTATAAGATTCTTGTACGATTCCATCTGATTTCGTAAGATTCGTATAAGAATTTGTAAGATTCTATGAGAAACATAGAAACTGATACTTGATGTAAGATCTTATAGTAAGATTTCATCAAATTTCGTAAGATTCTTGTATGATTTTTATAAGATGAAGCCGTTTCTATGATTTTCCGCGAGATTTTATAAGATCGTGTAAGAGCTTGATCTGATACTGATGACCTGGGAGATGGAAAACTGAAAAGTTATTGCTGTGCTCTATTGAAAATCATCAGTCGTTGTAATTGCTATAAAGGTTCTGCTTAGTAACAACATAGGATTAAGTAAATTTCAATTCTTTATCAAAGGTGGTCACCCAAGTCAGCGCTCTACTTGCGTTGATTAAGATCTGAGGCGACAGCTGTGTTATTCATTCAACATCATGGTCGGTCGTTGTTTTGTATGTAACATGATGATCATTAAGTTTTGTTTCAGAGTAAGATTTTATTTTAGAAATCACTTCTCTAGCAGAAACAAGAATGAACACACCCAAACAGGAGCCGATGGATCCTGCTTCGGTAAATAAGAAATCCATTTGTTTAAACCAATTAGATTGTATTATTCTTTTCTTTAAGGTTCGAGATTTAATGGCTGCTGCACAAAAACAGATTCAAGTTCGCCAGCAAGAACTCAATTTTAAAGTGAGTTATTTTTATTCTACTTCATCCAAAGGATACATTCATGATTTTTGTTTTTTTGTGTTTAATTTAGACACCAGTAGCACCACAGCAACGTTCTATCAACGTTCAGCGATTAGCTGAACTGAATTCACGTATAGCGAATACAATGGGTAGGTGTTGTATTTCTTCTTAAGTAATGAATCGATGTGCTTCTATTAAGCGCAAGTTATTATATAATTCTAGGGCAACTGTTTCAAGCCAGCCAAGATGAACGTGAAAGACCAATTCATGTCAAAATTGATAAAGAGGGTCGTACAATCGATACGAGAACAGGAGAGATTTTACAAATGCAAAGTCGTATGCCAACACTGAAGGTATTTGTAAAAAGAAATATTTTGTAAATTGATTTATTTCATTGAATCTTTTAATTAGGCTAATATTCGCGCTCAAAAACGTGAAGTATTCAAGCAAGAATTTAGTAAAGCAACACAATCAACAGCCTATGATATGGGAATTGATGACAATGGATTACATTTTGATGCACGATTAGGGTATTCTATCTAATTTAACTAACTGTTTTTTTGCATTTGAATTGTATGACCACAAGTAATATTGATTCTCTCTTTTTAGTATGCGACCAACACTTCGTAATCGTCGTCAACTGGCATTTAATGCGCGTGGAAAATATGAAGAAATTGCTAATCGCATGCGTGCAAAGTCAAAATTAGAGAAATTACAGCAAGAAATTTCACAAATAGCAAAAAAGACGGGTATTGCAGTTGAAAACAAAATTACTGTTATACAGCCAAAAAAATTTTTTGTAAGTACATTAACAAACTACTGCTACTCAATTTTAATTCTACGTCTTTCTTTTTCCTCATCGTAGTCCGAAACAGAAGTACCTGATATTGAATGGTGGGATTATGTTATACTTCAACAATCCAGGTAAGTTTCAAAGCAATGTGTTTTTAATTTATTTTTTTATTGTTTGTTTATTTATCTCTATATAGTTATGCAGCAGTGTCAATTGGAACTAGTGTAGAAACTATGCTTCATGGTATAACAAAATTAGTTGAACATCCAACTCAATTAAAACCTCCGTGTAAATACTTTTTTAAATCTATTTTGAAACTACTTTATAATAATATTTTTTTATTTAGCTGAACCAACCAAACCAATACTTTTGCCTGTTTTACTGACAAAACGTGAACAAAAGAAATTAAGAAGACAGAATCGTGCTGAAGTACTTAAAGAACAACAAGAGAAAATTCGTCTAGGTTTAATTCCACCTCCAGAACCAAAAGGTTTGTCTATTCTTAACACAAGTATTATTGTCTTATTAACTTTCGGATCTTTGTTTCAGTTAAAATATCAAATTTAATGAGAGTATTATGTTCGGATGCCGTTCAAGATCCAACAAAAATTGAACAATATGTACGAAATCAAATGGCAAAACGATTGAAGTAAGCCATAAGTTTGTTTTACTTTCTAGTAATATAAGAGAAATACGGCTATATAAGTATGTAACTTTTATTCTATTATAATTATTTTTAGAACACATGAAGAAGCAAATGCAGCTCGAAAATTATCTGCCGAACAACTTCGAGAAAAGAAATCAAAACGTTTGGAAGAAGATACGAGTACTGGCGTTCATGTAGCTATATATCGTGTCAAAAATTTGGATGATCAAGCAAGAAGATTTAAAGTTGAAACAAATTGTAAACAATTGCATATGACTGGTTGTGTTGTACTTTGTAAAGATATTAATGTTGTAGCAGTTGAAGGAGGTAAGCGTGCATTATATTTATTTTCTGAAAACAATTTTATGTCTCATTGTTTATCTTTAGGACCAAAGCAACAGAAAAAATTTCGTCGACTAATGTTACAACGCATCAAATGGAATACACCACAGAAAGGACAAGTGACAAATCAAGATGATGGTGAGTAAATTGCTAATATTCATAACAAAGATGGATATTTGTTTTTCTTTTTGTCTGATTTAGATGATCATGATGAACAAACACAAGATATAAATAAATGTGTTCTTTTGTGGGAGGTAATTATTTTATGATCTAACCACAAGATTCATTACGATTTATACTGTTTATTTCTTGTTTTAGGGTACAGTGAAAGATCGTTCATTTGGAGAAATGAAATTTAAAAATTGTCCAACAGAAAATTTTGCACGTGAATATTTTCGTCGACATGGCGTAGAACATTATTGGGATATCGCTCATAACGATTTTGTCTTAGATTCTTCTGTTGATTAAATTTGAAACGTTTTATTGTTGTTGTTATTGTTTTCTAGTCTCGTACATCTGCTTGATAGTTTATAAATTGTGGTTAAAACAATTATTTTTTTCACCTTTCATGTCTTCTAATTTTCTTTTTCACAATCTGTAATATGAAAATCTATGTATTTGTATATATGTTATGTGACTGTTAGCATTTTTTGGCTTCATAAAACAAAACATCATTAAAATAATGAGAAAATGTTTTTAAAGAACCGATTATATTCTTCCATATTTGAGTTTGACAACGTGTACAAAATGGACAAAAATGTTATTGATATTCCTAGTGTAAAGTATTTTTCATTGTCATAACAAGAGTAAATCCATTTTATTAATATATTATACTCAACAATGAAATGGACTATGAGGATAAGTAGTATTCATCATCAAAATATTTGAACTATTGATATGAATAAAAATGAAAAGAAAAATAACTCATTTTTGAAGCAGAAGATGTAACATGATATAATTTAACTTAATGATACTTTTTGAATCATAAATGTATATTATTATTAAAAAAAAAAGAAGAAACATGATATGATTTTTTTGTGATGCATATGGGTCGTCCTAACATTTCTAATTATATGATTGTGTGATAATTGCTGCTACGTAAAAATGTTCCATTCATCTATTTTTAGATGACCTCATTTTTACCTTACGCTGATTTATTTCGTTATGGTTTGTATGATTCAGTTGTAAATTGTTTACAAGTAGCAGTGATCGATGATCGTAGTCAAAAATTATCTACTAAAAAAGTATCAGTTCCACAGCATCAACCAATATCAAAAGCATCATCGATCAATAATAATAGTGCTAATAATAATTCTCGAAATGTTCGTAATCGATTGACTTCACTTATTCTTTTCAATGGTGGGATTCTATTGTGTGGAATGTTATGTTTCAATTATTTGATTGTACCTATCATTTTAAAATTATTTCATCTATTAGCTGGTACAACAAATAATAAAAATGAACAATATCAATCTCTTCTATTTATTCAGTATCTGTTAAGTTATACATTTAATTTATTTTGGTTAATACCAGCATTTTTAATATCAAAAATTATAAACAGTTTTTACTTTCGAGAGATAGCTGATCGAGTATTTGAGATAACAACGGGATTACCATCATCAAATCGTCGTCAAGTTTCAAAAACATATGCCCATTCTTTCACAGATTTATTATTTAGTTTAATAATGCAAATTATATTTTTATTTCAATCATCATTTATTTTTCTTTTACCTATACCATATTTAAATACAATATTTGGCTATGGTTCATTATGTTTATTATATTCATTCTATGCATTTGAATATAGTTGGATTTATAAAGGTTATCCAATACGTGATCGTGTTAAACGTATTGAACAATATTGGCCATATTTTATTGGATTTGGTTTACCATTAACATTATTATCGACACAATTATCAAAATCATTAATTATTAATGAATGTATATTTTCAATATTATTTCCGTTTGCTATTGTAGCAGCTACATTGGTTAGTTACACTAAACAGATAAAAGGTCGAACAACAAAAAAAATTATTGAATTAAATATATTTTATCTAAGTATTAAAATAACTGATAAATTACTACAATTATTAAATAGATTTCAACCAAATGTTAGGCAAAACCAATAAACATAATTATTAAATATGTAACGTTTAGGTGGTCATTCATTTCCCGGTGATTATTCTTTAACTCAATAATATAATTCGACCTATCTATATTGTACAATACTTTTACAAATAAGTTTATTATTCGCGCTTTTTGACTCGTATTTATTTTGATGTGTAAATTTTATTTGGACAACAGTGGTCATCAAAGTTGCTCTTTTATTCACCTCTCTGCCTCTCATGGACATTATTATATCGACAAACATAGTGTTTTTGTGGGGAATTTTGTGTTGTTTTTTCTTGTTAAGGCACTTGTTTTGCAAAATGTGCGGCACGTGATCTCGAGAACTACGCAACGCAGAAAACTTCTGAAAACGGGAGGATAATCGCTCAACATTAGAGATTGACCAAGGCACATTTTTCTCTCAAATAAAGGTCCATATTCGGCGCCGTAAGCTACACAAGTGGAAGAAAACATTTTTTTTAAACCCTTTTGTATATTATATGGATTTTTAGTATGTCGTTTTTGTCAAGTTTTTTCCTGATAACAAAAGTTTGTGTCTTGTATAAAATATATTTTCTATCTCAGTTTTGAATACTACCTTCTCGTTGCAATATTTGATTTTTTTTGTGTCTTCTTTTGTCCAATGAAATTAATTGTAAATTTTACATCTGCTATTTGTACAGAAACAACAATAATAATTAAGCAATGTGGTGTCAATGTTAAGGTAAATTTAATAAACAGAATGATAATAGTCGAGAAAAATTAAGTTCTGCGTATTTTCAATAGCTATTTCTAGCGGTAGGACTACTACATCTGTTTAAGATGAATGATCGAACAATGCAAATGATGTTTTTGTACATTTAAGTAGCGGAATTAGTTACTATAAAGCTCGTTGTATGCTAATGAGGGAATCTCACTAATTGATAAATGCCTTTTTTCATGCAGTTTTTCCAGAAGTATAAGACTTTTGAGGTGGTAAATGATGTAAAGTTCCGAATATTTACGGAATTAGAGAATAGAATTTTTGCATCTTCTTGAAAACTTTTCTACGTATATAATTTGACCTGTTCTACATTCTCGAGGCATCAAATCTCGTCACTCAAACGTTTTCGGATAGATGTTGAGAGACCCAACGGATTCATTGTTCTTTATCACTGTATAAAATTCTTTTTATTTACTGTTTTATAGAAAAAACCGCAGTAAACAATACCAAAAATACACATATCACTCCATGTATGGAACAAAGATCAGACGCACTTTAAATAAAAACTAAAAAATATTCTCTTTCATGTTATGAAAAAAAGAGAACAAAAATAAACATCAGTATTATGCAAAAGCAAAAAAGAAAAATGAAATAATGAACTATGAGAATGAGTAAAATACTATTATTGATAAAGTAAAAGAAAAAAGTACTTTTCTTATATCCTCTAAGATTCTAGATCGGAACGTGTTATCAAATACTCTTTGATCGAGAATGGTCAAACAAATTGTTTCAAATAAATATTTTTGAAACTTTCTACAATGAGAACAATATTGATGCATTCATTAGGTTTTAATAACGAATCATGTAGAAAATGCTAAAACAAGGTATTTATTATAAGAGCTTGCTATTTAATTGGCGAGTTTAGGTCGAGCTTTCTCCACTTGAATTTTTTTAAATTAAAACATTATCAGAAATCAAAGCCACAGCGAGAAACTAAATTGCACGGAAAAGAATTGTCATCTTTCTCGACATCGTAAATTGTCCTAAAAAAACACGAGCTGCTCAGTTAAAAAAGAACGAGAGCAGAGCAAAACCGGAAGTTAAAATGAACGTGAAAACTAAAGACAAAATTCTCTATTATTTCATTCATATTTTGGTGAAAATGGAAGTAACCGGAAATAAATATGGTTATTTATAGAGTATAAAGTAAAACGCTAACAAAACTCAAAAGGTGAAAAATGAGTAGGAAAAAGTGGCTTACTACTATTGGTTAGAATATAAACGAAACTAGATGTCTATTTCAATCGCATATGAAATGGAAGAAAAAAGATTATATGACTAACTTTCAGAGTAAATATTACAATGGCAAACAAAATATCTATCCATAGTTGTATATGATGGAATTGATAAATGAACATAAAGATCTGCTGTTTATGTTACAGTCGAACCCAGAATTGTTCCAAAGTACGCGCAGAAAATAGAAAAATGTTTTGGGCTACCCTGTGGTAACAACCAAAAAAGTTATCAGAACAAAGCCCAGAGAGACAAACTGATTCATTCTTTTTAAAGCACCTGCCATACGCACTAAATTCGTCACTGGTTTAATTCAATAAGTCATGTTTGTTGTAAACTGACTGCCTTTGTTGTTGAACTTGTTTACCTAGAATAAATGATTTTGTCATTTCTTTTGAAAACTAAATGCGAATAAGTGACTTACGCCATTTTGACTGTTCATGTGTAACTAGATTTAATACTGTACTAGATCTATGTCTAGATGCATTAAGATTTGCCTGCGTTGATGATGTTAGAAAACTATTTGTTGCCGGATCGCTAAATACACATTCTTGTGTTGGATTATCTAAATCAACTGCTTCATTAATTTGTCTTTCATAATGTTTCGGTTGCCGAGACTGATTCATTAGCGGATCGAGACATAATAGAAACGACATATAAATCAATAATAATGAGATGGCAACCATAATGATAATGACAACAACTAAAATAAGATTTTTCTCAATTGTTTTATTTCGCTCATGGGAAAGTTTTGTCGAAGTTTCACGTCGTTGGGATCGTGCAGTTAAAACACCAAATGCATGGTCATGTGTGACCTTTCTATAATTTCACACGCGTTTACAGGCGAGAATTCCTTTTCACACTGCACTTTACGACTTTCACTAGTGACCACATGCGAGAAATATGGCGCGAAACGGTTCCGTGAGCAGTTCACGCGTGAAAAATACCTTTTTATGACAATTGTCACAAATGGAATATATTCTTCGCGCATGTCTACACATCATTTTATGATGTTCACGCGCGATCACAGTTCATTTCATGATATTCACTAGTGTACATGCCGTTTTATATACTAAAATTTCCCTATTAGCGTATCTAAGCCACATCCTTACCCTTCATTGTTGTTGTATTTCTCACTTCATAATTGCACAGACAGCGTGGACAAAATCTCTCTTGAAAGTCAGCTGGAGCTGATATTGTTCGAAATACAACATGTTTACAGGTACAATTTTCTGCCGGAACAACATCAACGTAAATACGACGATTTGTATCGTTCATTGCAAAATCTTGTACAACTGTGAAGGATGGACACACACATTTACAACGATAATCTTCAAATTCATCTCCACCGAGCACAGATGAAAAAAATATGAAAATTAACAAAAATAAAAATAATTGAGTAAATATGATCTTCGACATCATTTAAATCGCCCAATTTTGGAAATCTGAAGAAAACAAACCAGAGAACATCCATTCTTTATGAACACAATCACAGCAGGTTTTTTTCCTTCCACCTTTTGGTCATTAACTAAGTAATCATTATAAAACATCGACTGTAAATCGAGTCACTTTAAAGATATGGATTATCAAATCAGTGAGGAAGCAACAGTTCAGTCCAAACATGAAACTGATACTTTAGATTTAATATCGTATTCCCGACCACCCGTAGCTATTTTCCCACCATAGAAAGCGATTTAATCTGGAAATGTCATGCCGAACGCTGCCATCGCTGAGTTCAATATTTTTGCGACGCGTCGAGAAAAACAATACTTTTCTGCAGCACGTATGCTGTTTTTAATAGTAAAATATGGGTGATAAAGCCCCGAAAACTTTGCACAATCGATCAAAAAAATGTAAAACTAATTCAGCTGTCAAAAACTAAATTTTTCTAGTATCGTCTTTGAACAGACTATTATTTTGCGTATTGTTTAAGCATTGTTAATCCGTATAGGAGAATGTTTAAGCGCAAAGGAGAAAACTGGCTTCTCCAGGATCATTACATATTTCTTTAAAAAGAGCAATTATCTTTTCCTTCTTACATTTCGTCGAGCACCGTATTATATTGATTTGGGAATTTTATTCTTAGTTCAAGCTGACCTTCTTATTTAACATCGTTAATGCATTATTTCTAATTATTAACTTTATTTATTCTTCTATTTTGTTGTTGTCTCTGTAATTGCACTATGATTGGTTGAAATTCGGCCATAATATTTTGCATTCTAACACATTGAAGTTACTCTTTTTGTAGAGGGCGTGTAATTTAAATTTTCGCTTCACGCTGTAAACGATACTGTAAAATTCGTCCGTTTTTTGCGCCTATATATGGAATAAAGATGCGGTTAGAAATATCTAATTTAGAAGGACAATATGAGCTATTAATGGAGTCCGACATGTTTTCCTCTTCGCACGACGGAATACGTATACTAGGATTACCATCTCGAGGATTTTGAAGAGCAGAAAATGAATTGTAAAAGGTAGAAAGCAACGTTTAGCTTCCCACAAACTTATCGCTAGATTTTTCCGTTGCTTATCAATGTTATTACTCACGAAAAACGGCGTACAATGTTTTTTTTCGAAAAGTTTTATAATAAGAAACTTTTAGATGGGAACAAACTACTTTACACGACTCAACATCACTATTGTCGGCTCAGTATCATAGTTGAAATTTGTCTTATTTTCGTAGAACACTTCCTGTCTAATCATATTTGCTCGTCTTTCGAAAAAGGGCTTGCCAAAAACAATAGTCATTTATTCCCTACTGGAGTGCTGCCTTTTTTTATATTATATTTCAGACTATTTGCCTAAAAAATGGTTTTAGTTTGATTCACATCAACAGAACGATACCATGATACATCAGCCTCTCGAAAATGACATCTATGAGTCAGAATTGCTCAAGCGTGGCTGCTCATTGAGTTTAATCTCTACGGAACAACAATCAGCGGTAGACTCACATCAAAGTGAGTAAAATAATGATAGCAGTCCGAAATTGTATTGTTAACAATGCAATTTTGGACTGCTGTCATTACTTTGCTTACTGTCTTAAAATTTTGTTCCCGTTAACAAATGTAATGTTTCACATAAAAGTGCTTTTGTAACTCAAACGTCTGATAAGTAACAGTTACTTTCACATGAGGTTTTTCTGGTTTGAAATAGTGCCCAAACGCGTAAAAATGACGAAATAATCGATATTTGAGTTTAAATAGTAGAAAAGACGTTAAGTAGTACACCGTTATTTTCATTTATGTATTTATTTTAGATTGAAAATATGTGAGGAAGTAGCAAGTGTAATCATTTACTTTTTATTCTCTTGTTTTGAAAATTTTTACTTTTTTATCAATTATATGACAATATTGGCCATAGTATTTTTAAAATATGGTTTATTCGACATTAATGTGTGTTGCTCTACTTATTTTCTGGGACTATATTTGAACGTAAGTTGTTATGCAAGACCTTGAACTGAGGCACGCTGAAGTTCAGAATGGAATAAAAAGTTTTGGTCTTTATGATATAACTATTTTGCACATGTCTGAAACAAAAATGACAGAAGTCAGCTGAAAACCTGTATTAAGAATGTAGAGTTTAGATAAAATTTTACGTGAATATTTGTTATTGACAGTATGTTTTAGAAGAATTTCTAATGGGTTTTGTTGGTTTGAAATACCTACTGAGTAAGCTGTTTAGTAATGGTAACAAAAACAACCATTTTTCATTTGATGTGTTTTTTGTGCTGAATAAATCATATTTTTGTTTAGAATTTCAAATGATGGTGAATAGCTTAGAGTCCCCTACTGAATCTGTAACATCAAAAACAGTCGCTGTAACGACGAAAGATTTCAAAGATGGAAGGAAATCGTCGTTGTTATCGCCAACAAATGAAAAAAAGAGAACAAAGAAAACCAAAACAACAACAACGTCCTCTTCTTCATCGTCGAGAACAACGAAAAGAAAAAGACGAAAAGACTTATCATCGACTGATAATAGCACTAAACCAAAATCAGTGACAAATAGACGAATATCTTTTACGAATTCAAAACAACAATCACAAAAACGTCCGCGATCACTCAGCGATGAAAGTACCTCTTCAAGAAGTTGCTCATCAGATAGTTCCTGTTCATCATCATCGTCCGATTCTTCGCTGAACTCTTCGTTATCCTCATCAAATTCAAATTTACCAACAAACTCTGTGCCGACAATCAAAATGACAAAAGACAATGATAATATAGGATCAACAATGCAATCGACAACCGATGATATTTATGACATGGAGATGAAAACGAACAAGAACTCAACACTAACAGTACTACCACCACCATCAACTACAACAATATTAGCAACAACAACCATTGATGCAAATATTAGTAATGATAAAAGTCGACGTTCTATTGCGGAAGAACATATTAAAACGATAACATCAAAAACAAACACTGGAAAACATGATATTATCGATGGTTTTGCATTTTTATCGTTCGAAAATAATGATGATCTATTATTAGCGTACGAACAACATCGACAATTATTATTTACACATAATAAGCATAAAATAAATGAACGAAATAGAATAACGATTGGAAGAAAGTCAAGCAGAAAAACAGAGCATTCCATGATGATGATGGATGAACTAAATCGTTCAATGAGTATGCCATGCAATCCAACAATCAAAATAGAAGATATCACGCAATCTTTACCAAATACACCATCGATGATTAGTGCTTTAGATGATAATAAATCATTTGCGGGAAAAAATAATCAACAACAACTGAATAAATTCGATGATATCAACGATAGGTTAGTATAGACCGTAACGATTCTTGCTTATCACTTTCTGGATAAACCTAGGTAGCATGCGTATAAAGTAGAGCTTTCATTATACGATAGTCGTAATGCTTGACATTTCTCTATTGGAGATATATAGATTTGTTCTTCTTTTAGTTTCAATAACAGAGCTTTATGGTTATCCACATCTAAGTCTTGTGTTGACGTAAACCGAGTGAGTTACAGCAATTCAAGGTCACCCAAAATTTCATCATCCTCGCAGCAACAACACCTAATACATAACGGCACAACTCAAGCATTTTTATCATCACCAACGAAACTTCTTGACAATCAATATTACTTGAATATGATTAAAAGTGAATCATTGGATCTGAAGAAGAATGACATTGATCAACAAAAAACGAAACAAAATTTGTTGATAAAAGCATTTGAGTTTACAGCTGATGAAAATTCAGTTTTGACAAACGAAAAAGAACGTGCTGGTATGGATGAAAATCAAAAGAAATCAAGTTTGATTGACGATTGCTGCCAGCCTTCGTCACATCGGGATTCGATATGTTCAAATACAGCAACATTATCGAGTATTACACAAAATACAACCGAAACACCAATCCATCCAGAATCATCCCATCATTATCATCGTCATCATCATCATAAATCACACAAAAAACATAAATCAAAACATTTGAACGACAAGTAAGAGATTTCAAAGCTATCAAGCCACTACGGTCACTTATCTTTTTCTTTCTAGTCCACAGCAAATTCCTAAACATTCTCCGATAATGGCACCATCAGAATTAAATAAAGAACGACGTACTCCATCGACAAACAAACCAGAGCAAAATTTATTCGATTACTCTCAATTTAAACAGTTTCCATCATTTCCTCCACCGCCGTTTGGACCATCGTTGCCGTTTGATCCATTGTTGTATTCACGTTTTTATAATCCTCAACACAATTTTGATCCGCCTATACCACCACCGCCTTTATTCTCACAAGGTCTTCCGATGTTTCGTCCTTATCCGAAACCAGACGAATCGTCAAATTCACCAACACCAAACTCAGTTAATTTATCTTTCGAAAAAATGCTGTCATCGTTGTATCCTAGTTACATGTCGGCTGCAGCTGCCGCTGCTGCAGCATCGAATATGCCCTCTTCATCGAATATCAATATGAAAATGGATTCAATGAGCATGTACCCTCAGTTATGGTCACGTGAGAATTTACAGCGACAATTAAATTCACATTATTTAGCTACTCATCATAATCAAAATTCTTTTCAACAGCAACAAGTATGAATTGAGTCTGACTACATTTGAAACCTTCCACTTAATGTATTCTTATTTAGGCTGATAAATTAACCCAGTCAAAATCGGATGTATCTCCAGCACAATTTCCTTCAACATCCAAAGCAGCTGATCCACCGCCAAAGACTCCTACAAGTACATCAAGTGCTAATTTTTCTCCATTACCATACCATTTACCACCGCTGATCTTTACAGAATTTCATCAGCATCAACACAATCATAATCATACACATCAGCATAATTTAAATTTAGCAACAAAAGACGAGTCTTCACATAAATCACCGTCAGTAACGCCAAATCCCCCCGTTACCAAAGATGTATCACCAAAAAAGTCTTCATCGCAAACAAAAACAAAATTTTCTGTGAGTGAAATGTTCATCAATGATAATCAGACAAATAATAATTTAACAGTGAAAAAACCAAATGAATTATCATCTACGAATCATGCATTTTTATCAGTAAATAAATCTTCAGTGAAAAATAACTGCTCTCCAGCTACGACAATTAAACAACCCTCTAACGGACATTGGTCAACGGCTCATATTCACATAGCGTGGATGATTTACTATCAAGAACAACGAATACGCGATAAATTCGGTTTGGCATCATCTAATAAACAGCACAATCCTGCAACGAATACGCTGCGACCACCTTTTCTTCCTTTTGATACCCAGTCTCCCTTGTTTTCGTCTCAAAATGACATGAACACACGTGGTAGTTTTAGTCCATGGATAACTCCATCATTTAAATCTTTACCACCATTTCTTCCTCATCAAGAACAATCACAATTATTTAGACCGCCATTTGTACCAGTTTCAAACAAATTATCTTCATCGGCAAATTTAACGTTGCCTTGTCCAAAACCAAGTAAGTTTTTAACATCACATTGGCTTCATGTGATTTTTTATCACTACAATCAATATCCTGTGCGTAAACCAGTTTCCCAACAAGAAATCTAGTTGATATTGAAAAGCAGTTTAAAGTCGTAGACAATTGATGAAAAGCGAGAAATTAGTCTTACGAAAATAGTACGAATCTGTGCTATAACCCGAGAAACTCGCATATATCTTTTTATATCATATGTAAGTTGTGTAAGTTTTTTTAGTTATCACTTCGTCCACAACAATTAAACCAAAACGTGATTCTGAAATAAAACATCAAACAAAACCTGTTACAAACGACGTAATACCGCCGCGTACAACACCATTGCCCACAGTACAATTCGATCCACATATAACAAATACCACAAGTTTGTTAGAGCGTGGATCTCTATCTCCCCATGTACCAGGTCGATCTGTAACAACATCAGCTCATCTATTATCTTCACCTTCTCTACGATTACCACAGCAACAATCTTTTCATACACAGAATAAAGATTTATTAGACGAAAGAAGAAAATTTAATCAGGAACAGTTACTTGCATTTCCGCCTTCACCATTTCTTTCTTTCTTATTACCAAACTCGGCAACATCGATGAGTTCGCAATTGCCACCGTTTAATCGACCAACGACATCAGCATCAAATATTGACTACAAACCCTCATTATCACCTTACTTTTCAACATCATCATCATTATTCGATCCATCAGCGATAGGCACACGCGGACCATCGTTTTTACCTGATCGTTTAGAACAAGAACGATATCGATATTTATTCGAACAACAACAACAATTTAGAGAAAGAGAGTTACAAATGATGGTCGCGGCAGCCAATCATCCATTAAACGCTTTTCATCAGTCATTATCGGCAAATGATGAAAGAATGCGTTTACATGAGAGATTATATAAACCATATTGAATACTCGACTTCGGCTTATTGTCACGAAAATTCTTCAAGTAGTCAGAGGGAAAGAGAGAAAATTATTTCAAAAGTATAGAGTACTTAATTTTCTTACGATATTCTAAAGTAAAAAAAAAGCAATTTTTTTTTTATTGTGTCACGTCTTCCGCGAATAGATATATTTTTGTTGATGTCTCTCTTTTTTTTTTCTTTTTTTGTAATGGGTGCTCATCATACATTTTTTTCTTTCTGACTCATCAATGTTCCATGACAATATTTGTTTTTCATCGCGCCAGTTACTGCTTTTCTACAATCAGTCTGTTTTCCTTTCCTGAGAAGGATATTTTGAACTTTCTTTTTTTGAAATAAAAGCCATGACATAGATAAATATTCATAAAAATTACTTTGATAGTTTAGTTTTGGTCCCCAATTAATTCTCAGCGTTCTTCACTTTTGTTTCTCAAATGACTTAATTCTTTTCCTTTTAAATTTTGTAACGTTGTCTATAACAGTGTTTCTTTTTCTGACACAAAAATTAAACCACTAAGATGTTTGTTTTGTTTTTTTTCTAACCAGGATATGTTGTCAAAAAATAGAAATTTGTTTTCTCTTTTTTGAATATCACATTTTTCTTTTTTCGAGACAATCCGTTCGTATTTTTTACTTGTTTTGTAATAAAAAATTTTGCGCATTCGTTCGTAACTCACGTTCTATTCTTTTTCTTCTTTCTTCTTACTGTACAGTATCTTTCTTTTTGTGTTGTTATTAACAAGCGTGATGAAGTTTATATAATTTAATCTTTTTTGGGGAGGGGACATCATTATTTGAGTGATTGTCTTTTTGCTCGACTTACAGCGAGTGTGCGTGTATGATCAGAATTATGTTTTTTTCTCTTGCTTTTTTCGTCGTGATCTTTTTCGTTCTGTGTACAGTTCCGGCTTTGAAAACAAAAATTTAGACATATAATAATGAATACTTATCATAAGATCTAAAATTGTCCGAAAAAAAATATGTTAGGAATCAATCTGATATGTCAATCGTGAATACCAATATGTAAATTAAAACAATTAATGTAATATCATAATCAGACAATATATGCAATGGCGGCATCAGAATTTTCTTAGGAATTTAGATGGCTAAAAATTCTACAGACAGATCTGCAAGGAAAAACTAAGCAAAATTCGTAGTATCGGACAACGAAGAATCTTTTCCATCTCCCTAAATATATTGTCAGTTTCCCATCAATTACGATTCACATCGAATTCAAGCATTATTAATTACAAAAATATTTAGTCTTCTAAGTTCTAAAAAAACACTGTCAAAGAATTAATTATAAAGATGAGTCTGGTGGTTGTAAGCCCAGTTACTGAAATTGAAAATTTATTGCGATTTTGTGATCTGATAATCTTATTTTGAAATGAATAGTACACTACCTTCGGATGACTCTTTGAACATGTCTCTTTTACAAATTAGTGTGATAAAATATTATGCATTTTGACTATATGTAGAAATCAATGAATTAGCACTTGAGTCGATGTAGTGCTGTAGAAAATCCAAACATCATTGTAGTTTGACATATTTTTGAAAAGTTTGTCTGTTTTTTCTCCAAATTGTATAGACTCAATTTTGAAACTAAAACAAAAGTCATCCAAATAAACATTAATTATACTCAGTTATCTACAGTGGAACCTCTGTAAAAGTTGTAAACATTATTTTTTCTTGAGATAATGAAGAAATGAAGCTAAATTTTAATGAAAAATGATCAAAGTATAGTATGCACAGAGTTCGCAGATCCTCAGGTTAGAAATGCGGAAAATTTTTTCAGAATACGGAAAAAAAGCGGAAACGTATTTTCATGGTCTAACTTCAGCCATTTTCACACACAGAAAGTCAAAAAAGCACTTTCTTCTAGCACTTTGTGGTTTTATTCAATACAACACCAGAGAACAACAAACAGTAATGTAAGTCCTGATTTTAGTTGACACGTTGTTTTTGGACTATATTTTTTATTAGAATGAATAAGTTTAAGCAGATCTAGCGTTGATAAGAAGTAATTATAAATTGATGAGTGACTGACCATTTAGTTGGACAATAGGATGAGAAGGGAAAATCCTCAACAGGCAGAAATTTTTTTTTTAAAACCTTATATGAACAGGGAAAAAACAGCAAAAGCAGAAAATGCTTAAAATGCGGACAAATAGCGGAAAAAACTCCAAAATGCGAAATTTGTCCGCAAAATGTGGACCATCTGGAACTCTGAATATGCACTATTTTTGTGACACCTTTCTCATACACTTAAAATTTTAAATTAAATCATTGCTTTATTACAACTTTTGTTTTTTGTTATATATATGTGCTCTTTTGCGCTGAAAATTTGCTTTAAAGCATGTATAGAAGGTAGCCATTTACGAAAAATTCAGCTTTAGTCAAAATCGCCGATTTAATGAATGATGGTTTGATTTTGTCAGATATGAGATGTATTAAACTAGAAATCGTTTGAACTAATATTGAACATTAAAGTCAAACTATAAAATCTTTCCACAACAATAACATTAAAAAATTTTGCTTTTTGAATTATAGTCATTGCTTATCTAATTTCATTTATAAAATTATAAATTGAATGACTTATTTTTGTTGCTGTTGCATCAGATGATATTTAAGAATGAAATTGTAACAAAGACAAAAAAGAACGAACAAAGTCCATAGGATTGCATTTGAAAAATGTATTCATTTGCAAAAATAACACATTCTTTCAAATGATATGTATCACGTACAAATGATAACAACTATGTTTTGTCTAGTATGTAGTATATTGAAAACAAAGTAGCAGTGTCTATCTCATTAGAAAAAGTGAATGCATTAGAATTTTCATATTCCAGAACTGAGCTGGATTTACGCCTGTTACGATTGTTATAATGAATAATCTGTTTTGTCAATAAGCTCATCAGTGCCAGTATTTAGTAAGAGAGAGAAAGAAACAAAGAAGATGAAGATAAATAGCTTGTTATTCATCTTTTTTCTTCTTTTCTGTTCTATTATTCCCAGACAAACAAAAGTCTTATATAAACGTTGAAGAAAAAATGATAAAACAAACAATTGAATAGTATTGATATAGTCAACCAGTTACATTATTCGTATAATTTCAAGTATGTACAAAAAAACATCCACTGAAGTAATTGTACATTGTTTTTGTATTGAAGAAAGGGGATTCTATCAAAATTTGACTTAATGAGATTTCTCTGCTCAAAATGTTAAACAGAATAATTTACAGGAAACGGGATGATGTGAGGTTACGCATAAGTATATTTCATAATATATACGAGAAGTTTTTTCATTCTAGGATTTATTATGAAACTACTTTTGTTCTTTCTTGTCACACTTTACGTTGTGCAATCAGTACCGGTCCAAGTAAATGTATAAACTCTATGCTTATTAATTGATTGATAAATTCTACTTTCCTCTTCTTTTCTAGCCAAATTTAGTAGTAAAAAAGACAAAAACAGACAAAATATTTTTGTCGTACGATACGGGGGAGGCAGAGCACGAACATTACGAAGATGACGAACCAATAATACATGTCACGACAACACCAAGTAGCACTACTAGGACAAGAAGAAAACCATCCAACAAATGGACATCAACGCAAACAAATAGATTTTATGTAACATCATCCTATCCCACTTATCAAGGTGATTTTGAACCGGCTCTCGATAATTTTAGTAAACTGATTGAATTCATACAAAATTTTTTCAATAAGATTAATGCAGTATTCCGAGGTAACAATGATAACAAACATCCGACAATTGAATAAGAATAATATTAAATAGTTTTATTTTCCTTGGAATGCATATGCAGTTTATGTAATATATATGTAATATCAATATTTTAAACCAGTATATATTTATTTTTTATTTTTTTCAATAGATTTATTGTTGCAATACAAGAAGGTTTAAGTACCTTATGAAAATAGTCAAATATGTTCATATAATTCTTTTTGCTTAGATACTTTTTTGGCTACCTTTGGAATATCTGTTATTTTTGTATGCTTAACTAATAAAAACGCTACTGATCCATAAAGCAAAATTGACACTACATTATGCACAATGTTTTAGGTCAAATACATCTAAAAAAATGAAGACTTTCAACTTTTCTAAGACTACTTGATATGTTGTAAGAGGTTTGTAGTTTTTATGATCTGTGTGATTTTGATAATTTTAGTATATACGTAGTTTCTTTTTCATGTTTCAATTTTATGTAACACAACAAGTAAAATTAGCGTAACTGAAAAACGTTCATTTCTTCTTCTATACCTATCTAATAGAACGGAGAAGGTCACATAAGCAAAGAATATCCACACCTGTATGATCGATGATCTATATCAGTTCACATATTTAAAACTTACATAAAAAAATGAACACTTTTGTTATGATTGTATAGAATACGTCATGCATCAACGCGTAAATCAAATTCCTTTTTTGAAACATAAACGAGAAAAATTGTACAAGAGGAAAAAGCAAACATCAGCAATATTTCTTCGATTAACAACTGAATAAAAACCTACGAGCGAATATATTTTTAACAAGCTACACTATCCAACTCCAATGATGAATCACGAGTAAAAACGATAGTCCAAATTTTATTATTGAGAAAACAAATATATTTATCATCAAAAAGACAAAATGTCGAGGTAGGTTCTGACAGTTATGAAATTTGATAAATAAATTTAAAAGTTAGTCAACAACTGAAATACTTTTCACGATTATAATCTTCTATGAGTGTATATGAAAGTATAATTTATATGTTTCTTCAAATATCATAAGATATCATATAATTTTTGTTCGTTTTTCTCGTAATATTTATTTAACAAATACTATACGTTTCAGAGTCCGATCAGACTCCTTCTTCCTTAGTAAAAAATTATGAACTAAAAAAGGAGTCGGATCAGACTCTGAAATGTATAGTATTTGTTAAATAAATATTACGAGAAAAACGAACAAAAATTATATGATATCCTATGA